CATATCTTGCATTCCCAGCGTGCCTAAAATACAGACTGAGCTGTTTGTGTCCCTGCTGCCTCTTCCCAGATCTCATGAATCTGATGGTGGGGCTGCTGCACCCTGCTCCAGAGCAGCGCACGACTCTAGCAATGCTGGTGGAGGATCCTTGGCTGAAGCAGCCTGTGAACCTGGGTGATTACACCTGGGAGGAGGTGTACGTCTCTGCTGGGGCAGGTGAGATCTTCTGAAGGCTTTTTCTCCCCCACCAGTGGAGCCAGCAGGGGAGGATTTATGAGACAAAGTTAGCCTATGGTTAGCAACTTCTTACCCAAAGGCAACTTTCTCATATCCAAACATGCTTTGAACCATTGACCCGGGGGACTGCAGTTCACCCCTCACTGTTGATCTTTCTTTCTAGGAAGCGGTGGATGGAGAAATGGTTCTGTTGAGCACTCACACAGAGGCAGACCCTCAGCTCCTCGCGTGGAGAGTGAGCCGTGTGTGAGTGCTGCCAGCTGTGTGTGTGCAGATCCCCTCTGGGAAGGAGCTGCAGCTGCGAGGTGTCAGGGCTGGAGCCTGGGGAGTCCCTGCAGCCGCTCCCTGCAGCAGCCCCTGCCTGTGCAGCCGTAACTGCAGGGCGTGTGAGGATTCCTGCTGCTTCCTGAGTGCTCATTCCAAGCACTTCTCTCTCTGTACAAAGAGAGAAAAGGAGGAATTCTTGAGAAATCCTGAGAGCAAGAACAGAGATTTCCTACGAGGGAGCGTTGTGACTGAACCACTTTCTGTTGTCTATTGAGGCAGCCTGACATCAAGATGCTTTTTTTTTTTTTTTTTTGTCTAGCCTGTGTTGTGCAGCTCTCACCACACTCCTGTTCTTCCCAGAACGGGTGGCTAAGCTGCATGCAAAGCACGCTTGCAAATCCTGCTATGCACAGCAGATTACTCAGCAATGTAAGTTCTGACCCTTTTAGACACTCCAGCCCAGGGTCTGCCCTTGCTTTGGGTTTTATCTCACAGAGGCTGTCAAGCTTCTCTAGCTAACAGGCTTGTAATTATTTTACCTAGGAAGGGATTTAAAGCTGGAAGGGATATATTTTTTTTGTCTTCTTTTATTGTTCATAGCTCAGAATATATTTTTATTGGCTGTTTTGACTTTTATATGTAGTTTTACTTTCTGAAAAAAAAAAAATGAATAAACACATGATTTTGTTGGTCAGCTGGCTTCTGGTTGGAGTTTGTGCACAAAAACAGACACACAATGGTGTGATGTGTATTTCTTTTTTCCCTATTTCTCCCTCTTCCCCCAGAGCTGGAGCTGGTGGAAGGAACTCTGCAACCCCTCTAACACAAATTGCCTGCTGTAGGATACAGTCCTCTCATCCTCCCTATAATACAGTCAGCACAACCTCATTGTGGCCATCCACTACTAGAAGGGAGTGTAAAAACAGGAGGAGGCATGGCTGTCTGTGAGGGTGAACAGTGATAGGACAAGGGGGAATGGTGTTAAACTGAGACAGGGGAGGTTTAGGTTGGACATTAGGAGGAAATTTTTCACACAGAGGGTGGTGAGGCACTGGCACAGGTTGCCCAAGGAGGCTGTGGATGCCCCATCCCTGCAGGCATTCAAGGCCAGGCTGGATGTGGCTCTGGGCAGCCTGGGCTGCTGGTTGGTGACCTGCACACAGCAGGGGGTTGGAACTGGATGAGCATTGTGGTCCTTTGCAACCCAGGCCATTCTGTGATTCTATGATAGATTTTTGAGGAGACAAAGATAGCAGAAAGAAAGCTTGGACTGGGCAGAGAGAATGCAGACCGGGTGAAGATCCTAACAACCACAGGCCACTGTGCAGCCCAGCCAGGGCCGCGATCCCAGCCGGGAGAAGCAGCAGTTCCTGCTTTTGTTTGTAGTCCTGTTTCCTCGCTCCAGGTTTTGATAGTTCAGCTGAGCACGTGGCAGCCTGAATTCGTGGCAGAACGCAGCTGTAACTCAGCACACGGAGGAAGGGCTCCGGCCCTCTCCTGCGCCTCAATCGTCGGCTTCGGCGTTCAGCGCCGCCGGCTCGGTGCGCGGTAGCTGTGCCTGCAGGCGGCGCCGCCTACTGCTGGAACCCGACAGGCACTGCTGAGCCGGGCAGAGCCGCGGGGCTGCCGGCTGCCGGCCGGGAGGTTCCTTCATCCAATCATCCATCGCCCGCCGGAGCTCAGGCAGGGCCGGCACACCGCTCGGACGCGGAGCACGGGCGCTGCCGGCGAGCGCAGAGCCGCCCCGACTCCGTGCCCACCCCGGCGGGCGGGGCCGCGGCGATGCGGCGGCTGCGCAGTGCGGGGCTCCGCCCCGAGCCATGGCGGCCCGGCTGCTGCGCGCGTTGCGGCCTTCAGCGCCCCGCGCCCTCCTCCCCGCGCCGGGTCCGCGCTGCAGGTATCAGGCGGGCCCGGAGGAGGGCGAGACGGCGGAGCTGCTGGCCCTGGGCTTCGACCGGGCGCAGGCCCGGCGGCTCCGCCTGCTGCAACCGGGGCTCGAGCCGCAGAGGCGGGCGGAGGCGGCGGCGCAGCTGCTGCTGCTGGGGCTGAGCGAGGAGGCCGCGCTGGGGCTGCTGGAGCGGAACCCGGGGCTGCTGCGGATGGCGACCGCGCGGCTGAAGGAGCGCGCCGAGTACCTGCGGCGGCTGGGGCTGGAAGGAGGTGCGGCCGGGGATGGGAGGAGGCGGAGGGGCGGCCGAGCCGGGCGGCGGGCGGCTCACCCCGTATCCCCGCTCAGCGCGGCTGCAGAGCGCGGCGGGCCGCTGCCCTGAGGTGTGGACGCTGCCCCGGAGGAGGATGGAGGCGGTGGTGCGGCTGCTGCGGGAGCGGTGTCTGTTCACGGCAGAGCAGCTGGCCGAGCTGCTGCGGAGCTGCCCCGAGGTGCTGCTGGAGGAGCCGGACCGCGTGCAGCATCACTTCCAGGTGCGGGGCGCGGTGCGGGGCTGCGGGCGCGGCCCGGCAGGCTCTGAGCTCCGCGTGTCTCTACGCGCAGTACGCGTACTTCAGGATGGGCGTCCGGCAGAAGGAGATGGTGAAGGCCCGGCTGTTCTGCACGCCCTTCGCCGAGCTGAGGAACCGCCACATCTTCCTGGAGCGCCGCGGGATTTACCGCACCCCGCACAAAGGCCAGATCCAGAGCAACAACCCCGCGCTGCGGGACGTGCTGCGGCCGAGCGAGGGCGACTTCGTGGCCGGCGTAGCCCGAGCCTCAGCCGAGGAGTACGAGGTGTTCAAGAGGCTGCTGGCCCGGGAGGAGGAGGAGGAGATGGAGGATGAGGAAGAGGACGAGGAGGAAGAGGAGGGTAGCGCTGCACTGCACGCAAAGGGAGACGATAGGGACTGGCACCGATAAGGACAGTGCTGAGCCCTCCCGAGCTGCCCCCTGTCCACCCCCCCCTCAGTGACCAGCTGCTCCACAGAATATACCGTTTCTATAAAGTGTTTTTATTTATTTATTAAAAAACAAAAAAATCAAACCCAAATAACTAATTTATTTTCAAGACTAGGTTAAAATCTTTCGGCTGTGTTACATGCTGTGCTGGAGGCTGCTGTCTTCTTAGCGCTGCAGGGCAGGTCCAGGCAGTCCAGTCCCAGCCCAGGGGAGCAGAGGGGCCAGGCCCTGCTCTGGGGCACAGCCCACCCCGCTCTGGCTCTCCCTTGGCCCTGTTCTCACCCTAGGGGTTGCTTTTTCACCCATCCCAAAGCACACGCGTCCACAAAGCCAGAGCAGGCAGCCTTAGAGAAAAACAAGGGCTCTATCTGCAAGCCTCATTCTCCCCGTGGCAAAAGAGGCATCTCCAGTGCTGCAGGGGAGCGTGGCCCGGCCCTGCTCTTACTCAGCACTCAGGAGGACGAGGTGCTGCAGGGCTGCCCCCCCTGGCTGCAGCACCAGGGCTGCCAGAGCAGTAACACTCTATGCCATAACTACGATATATCTCTGGTACGTATTAATTTATAATATACACTGTGTACGTTAATACACAAATCTATGTTTAACTAGCATCATCGTACAAACTCACAACAACTAGGAACATTTCTAAGCTAATTTTTTTTTCCTTGCTGGCTCTGCTACAGTCACCAGGGTACCCACAAACAGCACGGTGATGGCAGCAGCCCTGCAGGGTGACATGGGGTGGGGGGAGCTGTGCAGGGGGATGGCACGCCGTGCTGTGCCACACTGAGCGTAGCATCACACCCCTGCTGATAAACTTACCCTGCAGAGCACTTTCTAGTAACTTCTAGGTGCTCTATCACTTTCTGAGCTGGAAAGTTGGTTAAAACCACAGATTGTTTACAAAGCAAAGAAAAAAAAAAGTGAGGAGGCAGTGGAAGCTGCCTGAACTGCTCCACTCTAGCACAGGGCTGTGCCTCCAGCACCTGCTCTCACCTCCATTTCTAATGTAGGGAATGGATGTAAAGAAGACCTCCTCCCACCAGGCCGTGCGGGCCAGGCTTCAGGTGATAGCTAAGGCTTTTGGGTCCGCATTCAATTGTTTTATTTGGGGGTTATAGGAAACTTCTTATAACCTTGGATTACGAAAACAGGTTGGTGCAGCTGCTGGTGGGCTCAGCCTGTTGGTGGCAGAGCAGAGCCAGAAGCCTGGGACTGGGGGGCCCAAGGGACCCCTGGGGCAGGCAGCTGGGGCAAGGCAAGGCAGGGCAAAGGCACTGCTGGTTCGGCAGAGGAAAGGCAGTGCTGCTCAGTGTCAGTCTGGCTGCATGTCCCTAATGGGCTGGAGGAGAGGGAGTGGCTGAGGCCAGGCAGGAAAGTGGCCCTGCTGCATTCAACCCAGTGAGCAGATCTGATCTTCCTGGTGTTTCAGAAGCCCTTAGACGTGGAAGGATGAAGTTCCTACTGCTTTGAACCCTGCAGAGGAGCAGGAGGACAATGAGCTGGCGCACAAAGGCCCCCCCCAAAGCCCAGCAGCTTGTGCCAGCCTTGGCCTGGGATCTGCCCCCTTCAGGGCTTCTGCCTGTGCCTGGAGCAGACACTTACACTATGGCTTCTTCAGTGTGTGACTGTTGCTTCGTTTTCTGGAAGAGAAGGAAGGAAAAGACCCATCAGTCCTACAGCACCTCACCCGTTGCTCCCACGAGGCACTAACATTGCAGCCTTGAGGTAGAGGAGCACATGCCTCGTGTGCTGCCCTGCACCCCTCCCTGCCCACCTCAGTCCCAACACCCCACGGCCCGCATTCTGGCCCCCAAGCAGAGGGAGGGCAACACTTCTGGTGGCTGTACCTGCTGGTTTTCTTGGAACCGGTGCTCTCACAGCTCTCCTTGTAGCATACATCCTGGTGTACCTTGTATATTCTCTTGTACCTGCACACACAGAGAGAGGGGAGCTGTGTGGAGTAACAAGGACGGAGCTGTGTTTTTAACTGCTGAAGGGAGGTCTCCCCTATTTCATTGATAAGAATGTGGCTGAGTCTTGTGTGCCTGGGCAAGGAGCTGGGCTGCTGCACTGTGCCACAAGCAGGCTGGGGGCACAACAGAGGCCCCCGTGCCCCAGCATGGGTGTTGGCCCTCTACCAGGGGCAGAGGTGGCCCTGAGCTGGGCTGGCAGGCAGGGGATGCACCATGTCACACCCTGCCCTGATCTGGAGGCTTTGCCAGCGGTGCCAGGCACCCAGAAAAGCCTCGGCACGGGACAGCCCTGTGCTCACACTCCCTTCCCTGGAGCCGTGCTGCAGTGACAGCCTTGGCTCTCAGCACCAGGGGAAGGGGCAGCACAACCCGCAGGCAGTACTCACAGGTAGTGGCAGATGCCTCCTTCCCACACGGGGAATGACTTGGTTTCCGAGTACAGCCGTGTGCACGAGTGTGGCACCTTCTTGCAGGCTGCTTGGGGAACAGGAGAGGGGAGCTATCAGCAAGCCCACCTCTGGCCCTGCCTGCCTGTGCCCTGGAGGCCATCGAGGCCCCCCAAGGATCCCCCACTGCAGTCCTGGAGCTCCAGGCTCTGTCACTCGGAGCCGACCCACAAAAAGAGAGCTCCAGCTTAGTGGTACTGCAGGGCACAGCAGGATCCTGGCTGCTGGAGGCTCAACCAGAACCTGGGGGCTGGGTATGGATGGGGGCTGCTCAGTGACCTGTGCCCTGTGGGACCCCACTGCTGGAACAGCTGCCAGCCTTGTCATGCACCCTGGAGCAGCACAGCACTCACCTAGCTCACAGTGCCTGCCCTTGAAGCCCGGGCTGCAGTCGCAATGGTAGGATTCACTCTCGCTTACACAGGTGCCTCCATTCTTGCATGGGTTTGTGGAGCAGTTCTGCCTGATGCCTGGAAAAAACGTGCACTGCCATCAGGCTCCGGGACCCTGGCAAAGCTGTGTACATCCATAGGGTCCATAGGGCCAGCTCCCTTCCAGCCATGCCTGCCCCAGACTCACTTTTGCTCCATGCCTCTCGCATCTGCAGTGCCAGACTGCTCCGGCTGGGCTCCTCGGTGTTCTCCAGCCTCACGGGAGCCTCTGGCTCTGGGCAACGAGAGGGTCAGTGTGACTTCCAGCCTGAGCCAGACCCAAAGCAGCCCCTCTGCAGCAGCAGCAGCAGCAGCAGGCTGGGGGACCCAGCCTAGCCTGGGTTGTGGGCTAGCCATGCCTAGAGCAGCACCTTAGCCCTTCCTGGGGCACGTGGGGTATAGCAAGCCAGAGGCAGCATTCACTTCTGGCAGTCTAGGCCAGCCCATGCCACATTTCACATCTCCTCCCATCACCCAAAACCATCTCTGGGCTTCCCAACTTGCCAGAGGCCACCCCACTCCTTAGGTGAAGCAGAAGTTTGTATGGCCAGGGAGAGGTGGGCAGGTGGCTCTGCCCTCCCCTATGGCTCCCCCAGCCTGCCTCATTGTCACCCTATCCAGGAGACGGCACACGGTGACAGAAGGTGGCCAGAAAGGCAGCAAAGCACTTACGTGTCTTCACGGTGATGGATTTGCTTGGCAAAGTGCCGAACCTGGCACTGATCCTCCTCCTGCCATCCACCAGCTCAGTGAACCTGGGGGAGCACAGCCGTGAGGGTGTGGGGCAGGGCAGGGTACTCAAGGCTGGAGGCAGCCTGAGCGAAGCGCTTGCAGGTGGTACATGGCACAGTGCAAGTGCTGCAGGCAGCTCATGGAGAGAGGCTGGGGCAGGCAGCTTGGCTAGAGCTGGGGGAAGGGGCTGTGCTCAGCCTGCCAGTGCCTACCTGGGGGCTGGTGAAGGCTCCTCAGCTGTGTCGTGGTCTGCGAGCAAGCGGAGCTCAGGCAGAAAGGCTGGGGGCAGCCTGTTGCGCAGCACACGGGGATGGCCGGCCTGGCTCCAGCGCCTCTCTGGAGCCCCGTCCTTCTGCACTGCAGACCACAAAGAGTCAGGCTTAGAGAGAGGCGGGCAACGAGTCAGTGCAGTGACAGGTCCCCGAGGTGCCATTAAGAGCTGTCTAAGGAAACACGGTGCCACCTGAGCCACATGCTGCTCCCTTCCCCAACCACGGATCACTGAGCCGCAATTCCACGCCTACCCCTGTGCTGGCTCCCAGCGGTGGGGCACCCATCCCATACCCAGGCAGTCAGGGGCAGAGACGGGCACTCACAGGTGGTGACGTAGAGGTGGATGGGCTCGCTGTGCACTTGGCCCTGCTCTGTGTTCTGCACAGCTGTCACAGACAGGCGGTAGCGCTGCGCGGGCAGCAGGTCCCGCACGGTGTAGGACACGAGCTTCCCGTTGGGCACGTAGCGGCTCTTGACGCTCTGCGCGGTGGTGACGTTGATGATGTACCCCTCCACGGCACCGGTGGGCGGCTGCTCCCACGTCATGGACACAGAGGTGGGGGTGACGCGGGAGGCTGTGAGGTTGCGAGGGGGGAGAGGCCCTGGAAAAGGAGGGAGAGAAAAGGATCAGTGCCAGAGTCCAACCTCGAGCTTCTCAGGAGCTCGCCCTCAGCCCGGCAAAGGCTGTGCCGGACTGCACCATGCGGCCCCACTCACTCGTCCACACGTGGAAGGGGGCAGTGGCCAGACTCTCCGAGGGGTGATCTTCCGTCCCCATGCCACTCAGCGTCGTGACATGGACGATGTACCGCTCTCCTGGCTGCAGGTCCCTGCAGAGGTGGGCAGGGGACATGAGTGCGGCGGCTCGCAAGCACGGCCGGTCCCACCGCCCGCCTGCCACACTCACAGGAAGGTGTACTTGGCCACGCTGCTGTTCAGCTCCACCGTGCGGTCTTCCAGGTCCCCAGGCTGGCGGATGGAGACACGCACCCTACTGACGGTGGAGTGTTTGAGCCGGTGGAGAGCCCACTGCACCGTGATGGTGCTGGCCGTCACGTTCGTGATCTCAAAGCCTTCCACCGGACGCGGTCCTGGCCGGAGCGAGCAGAGAAGCGGGGAGGGCTGCGGTCAGCAGCTGGCCGCGGCGGGCTGCGTCCTTCCCACATCCCTTATCTCCTATGACCCAGCCTGCCATTTGGATCAGCCTTCCTAGAGCCAAGGCACATCCACGGCACCAGCTTGGTGCCACTGCCCTGCGTTCCCACTGTTGGGCAGCCGGAGGCACCCAGCCTGGTCTCCGTGCTGGTTGCTCCTCAGCCCACGGGTCCAGCTCGTAGTCAACCCCAGGCCTGGTGCCGCCTGCCCAGCCTCTGGCCTTCACCCAGCCATGTGCACACCAGCACAGATGAGGTCTAGACCCAAGGCTAACCCAGCGGCAGAAGCTGTCCAGCTGCCCCACACCCTCAGGCCCCTGCTGCTCATTCCCAGCTCAGCCACCTCTGGGCTGGTGCCATGTAGGCAGCGCTGGGCTCAGCGCAGCTCACCAGCAAGGGGATCCAGCCCCCGGGCCTCCCCTCTCATTACAGGGAAGTTTTTCCAGGTCCAATCTCTTTCATCCTCAGTTTGCTTTCAATTCATACTCCAGCCATCACAGGGATTATGTATTATGGAGGATGCAGCAGTATCTGCTTGTCTGACAACACTGCCCCCACCCACAGAACTGATGTCTCTTTTGCCTGCTGAGGCATGCTGGCCTCAGAAAGCACCACAGTGGTCATTTTCTGCTGGACACTCCAGCCTCACCCAGCCTGCACTGAGGCTTCGCCAGACTGACTGCAGCCAGGCCCAGACCCCGACAGCAAGCGCAGCATGATGCTGCAGGCACAGACAACCCATACCTGCCCCGGGGGCCTTGGTTACTCTTTTCAGACCCTATTCTCACTGGCCACAGAAAAGAGGAGAAAAAAACCATCACTTTCAACCCAGTACTTCAGGGCTTGGGCACCGCCTTTTTCAGCCACGCCATGGCCAGCAGGTTCAGGCTGGAGCAGACCTCCAGGATGGGAAGCCGGAGGCGGCCCCGGGGAGGGCACAGGGCTGGGAGCAGCGCCCCAGGCACCGGGGAGCCTGTACTCACAACCTAATTCCCTTGAGGACGCTACTCACTAGTGCGCGTGGTGAGCATGACAGGCCTGCTGATATCATTCTTGTTGTTCACGTTGCGTTTGACTGAAAAGACAGAAATATTGTAGGCTCTGCCGGAGGCTAGTGCCCGCAATTGGTGGGCAGAACGACTTCGGTCCACAAAATCTGTCCTGCGGTAAGAGCCGTCGAAGGATACGTACGTCACGGCGTAGCCGTCAATGAGTTGCCTGGCGGCTGCGTCCTCAGGAGGGTGCCAAGAAATCAACACACCAGTGTCCTCCACCCTTTCCACCTTTAATGAGGTTGGTGGCAGCAATTCTTCAGGGTGTGGGCAAAAGCAAAGGGGAGAGGTAATGCCATGAATCTTTAGAGAACAGACCCCAGCAATGAAATGCAGATGGAGGACAGGGTCCTCTCACTCTTGAGTTGCAGCTTGCAGAAGCCCTTTGGCTGCCACTGGCCGGTCGTGCCAGGTGCTGAGTGTGTGCTGGAGGAGCTGGGGCTGCTCAGCCACCCCAATGGGCCTGAGCAGAGCCAGGGCGAGCAGACAGCCTGCGTGGCGGAGCTACGAACACAGCATTTGCTTCCAGCCACTGAAGCACGTGGGAACAGAGTGAACAACCTTCCTTCAGACTAACGCCCCACTGGGATCGCTTAAACCAGATGAGGGGCCTCGAGGACTCTCCAGCTGTGAAGCTGGAGGCTTTAATCCATTTTCTTTGCCTCATCTCCCAAAGGCATCCAAGGCAAACGCAACCCCTGCTGCACTGCTGGAGCCTGGAGGAACTTGTGCCCGGCATCCCCATGTGCCTCACTCTTGTGCTGTTGCTATCACCTCTAGCAGCCACCCAGCACCTGGTATGATCAAGCCCTGCTGGCATCTGCCCTCAGCATCTACAGAGCCGGGGCTCCCCTGGCAGAGGTGAGATCCAAACCCCGCCAGGGGGAGAGAAGCTGCTGGTCCCCGATGGCCGAGCCCCTTGTTGGTGGGTAACAGGGCAGGCACACTGCTGTCTAGCCCCTCGCCACGTCCTGGTGCTGCTGCTCAGGGCCTTTACCTTTTTCGCAGCTCTTGCCTGTGTAGCTCACTTTGCAGGTGCAGCTGTGGGTGCCATTGCTGGGCAGACAGTAGCCTCGGCTCCCACACGGGCTGGAGAAGCACGGGTCGCTGGCTGCAGAATTGGAGAGAGACATTAATGGCATCTGATGCCCCAGCAGCAGCAGCCGTGCAGGGCTGTAGCACTGCCCTCCTGCACACCTTACCTGTCTCGCAGTGGTAACCAAAGAAACCCTCCGGGCACACGCACAGGTAGGAACCTCCATCACCTTCACACTCCCCTCCATTCTGACAAGGGTCTGACTCACAGGCGTCCACTTCTGCAGGAGAGAGCAGGCTGGCAGTGAAGCACCTACAGCAGGCAGCGCGCTGATGTGCTGGCAGCCGGCCCCATGTGTGACCACAGCAGCAACACAAAGGTGTAGCCTAGGGCTGCCAGCCAGAGCCCACCTCCAGAATCCCCAGCTCAACGCCACTGTAGCCTCAATGCCCTGGCACACCATTGCCTTGCCAAGTAGATGGGCAGCTGACAGACATCCTGCTCTGCCTGAGCCCTCTGCTGGGGCTGTTCCCTCCCCACAGGAGAAGGGTCAGCTCTGCTGCTGGCAGACACGAGATGCAGTGAGCATCATGGATAGCAGTGTCCTCTCCAGGGCAAGGTTAAGTCTATACCCTCAACAGTGGCCGAGATTGAGTGCCAACCCTGTGACAGACACCCAGCACCTGCCTAGGCACAGGTGCTGACCATGTCCCTGAGCCCAAGTGACAGTCCCTGCTCAGCAGTGTCCCTACCTTCTTCGCACAGGGTCCCCACGAAGCCCTCGGGACAGGAACAGGCAAAGGAGCCCAAGAGGTCCCGGCAGGTTCCACCATTCTTACAGGGCTCTGACTGGCACTCATCAACTTCTGCAGAGAGGAGACGTGCTCAGAGCAGAGCCAGGGCTGGCAAGCAGGACAAAAAGCCTGGAGAGACACCGTTTCTCCTCCCCATATCATTCACTGCCCTAAACTCCCCCGGGCAAGGACAACCCCAAGTGGGGCTGGACAGCGGGGCAACATGGATGGGGAAAACTGGTGTTATGGAGCTGTGCTGAGACACCACAAGTCACACATAAGTGTGCATAGCACATCCCTTCCTTCAATCCCCTCCTGAAGGCATTGCATCTGACCCACCTAATCCCATCACCCACCCGTGCAGTGTCCCACCAGCCCGTGCCACCTGACATCCCTCCCGGCAGCACCGACCAAACAGCATACAACAGAGGCCCTGTGCCATGATGAACACATGCACGTAGAAAAGCAAGTGCAAGGAACTGCTGTGGGAGGGACAGCCCACTCTGCCCCCAGAACAGTTAAATCTTAAGCTGCTTTTTCATCATAATCTGTCTTGGCCAGTAACTCTGCAGCTGTGAGGGACACTTCTCACCCAGATCCTGCAATCTGGGCCTTCATTAAACATGTTCAGAACATGAAGATCATGCTGGGACCGTTCTCCAGCAAATGCTGCTGTGACGAGCAGGGGTTGTTGGAGGCACACAAAAGCCATTCAGGGGATTCAGACCCAACCCCCTGGGAATCGCAGCCCCATCAATGCCAGAGATGTCCATGCAGCACCCATTGGCATGGATGGATAAGCAGCACGTGCACCTTTCCCAGGTGGGCTGGGTGCTCCCCTGAGCCACAGGTGGGCAGGAGATGGAAGCCAGGGCACACAGGCAGCCCCACTTCCAGCTACATGACTCCAGCTGTACAGACGGCCACCTACACCGACAGCCACCTGTGGAGACTCCCTCCTCTGCTCCCCACGTGAGCTCTGTGCATTCTCTTACCCAACTCACAGTGGAGGCCCGTGTATCCTGGCTCACACACACACAGGAACTCGGCGATGCGGTCTTTGCATTGGCCACCATTCAGGCAGGGCTGAGACCGGCACTCATCAATCTCTGCAAGAGTTTGGGCAGGGGGAAGATAAGGAAAGGGTCTCGTGGACACGGGCAGCAGCGACACAGCCCCAAGCCAGGACCACGGCTCAGCCAATTCCTCACACTGCCTACCATCACATTCAGGGGGGTCGCTCCAGACGCCCTGCGAGCGGCAGACGCGGGGGCTGTTGTGCTGGCTGAGGACGTAGCCCAGCTCACAGTGGTATTTGGCCAGCGAGCCCACCGTGGTGGAGTTGAAGGAGGCCTGGGCGTGCTTCACAGCGCTGGGCATGCCGCAGTCAATCTCTGCGGAGAGACAGGGAGTGAGCAAGCGTGGCTCGGGCGCCTGGGGCCGGGCTGTGGCAGTGCAGGGCCCTCACCTGTCCCGCAGCGCTTCCCCGTGTAGCCCATGGGGCACGTGCACACAAAGTCCCCGCCGAGGTCCTCGCAGGTCGCACCATTCTCACACGGGCTCAGGAAGCAGGGAGACGGCACTGGGAAGAGCAGAAGGCAGCGGTGTGGAACCAGCAGGGCGCAGAGCAGCTGCCACTTCCCCCCCAGCCGTATCCCCGGAGTGGTTTGGATGGCAGGGAAGGAGGTGACATCCAGCAGCACCCGCACGTACCGATCTCGCAGTGCCGTCCAGCATAGCCCGGGGCGCAGTCACACTTGTACTTGCCGATGTAGTGGAAGCAGGTGCCCCCATTCTGGCAGGGCCCCGAGGCACAGGGGTCTGGTTTACCTGCAGGCAGCATAAGTTGAGTCTGGAGCAGGACGCACACCGCCCAGCTCCCCTCACCGTGCTGGGGCCGTACCTATCTCACAGTGGCGGCCGGTGAAGCGGTAGGGGCAGGCACAGTGGTACTCGCCGTCGGCCTCCTTGCATGTGCCCCCATTGCGGCACGGCGCCGTGCTGCAGAGCCGCGGCCGGGCTGCAAGAGGAGAACAGGAGATGCCCACCGGCTCCCCAGCAAGGTCCCTGCCCCAGGGGCCAGATCCTGCTCCCGTTGTGGCACGTACCTCTCTCGCAGTGCTTGCCCAGGAAACCTGAGGGACACTCGCAGGTGTAGGAGTCATCCTGAGTCTCGCAGGAGCCCCCGTTCAGGCAGGGCTCAGAGTCACAGGGGGACGGCACCGCTGCAAAGCCAAATTAAAACCTCAGAGCTACAGATCCTGAACCCATACGTTCCACATCCCTCCCTGCACCATCCCCACGTTCCAGCCAAGGACACTCACTGTGGTTGGTGCCGTAGTCGGTGTGGCACACACACAGGTAGCTCCCACCGTACTCCATGCAGTAGCCACCATCTGGACATTGAGTGTTCACATTGCACGGAGTGGTGGTCACTTCTGCAAAAACACAGCAAGAGCTTCTGTCAGCTTCCAGCTAGGAACAGACCCCAGAGCTTTACAGAGCTTAATGAGATGGGATGGATCATAGCCCCCCCATGCTCCTTTTTGAAGACCATGAGGATGTTAAGGTTAATTTGGGATGCGGGAAGGAGCTACAACATGCCCAGCTAGGGCTTCCATCTCCAGGCCATGTCCAGGGCCTGGGAAAGGCATGGCACAAAGCACAGCAAGAATGGCATCTCCTCACCACGAGGAACATATCTCCAGGCCTTAGCTTGTGTAGGTGGCTCAGATTAAACACTAGGCTGCTGTGCTAGGTTTGGACACAGGGTGGATCCTTCGCATCGGAGCCAGGCTGGTGTTAGGTGTCCAGAAGAGGGAGCAAACACAAAAAAATTTCAGCAGCACTTAAGAAGCCTTCACCTACCGAATTCACAGAGGAGGCCAAAATATCCTGGCAGGCACTGGCAGATGGTGACATTCCCCTCCAGGCAGCTGCCCCCATTACGACACTCACAGCCCTCCGTCAGCTCTGCAAGAGATGGAAGGAGTTCCCCTTGTATTGCAGTGCCAGGAAAGCCTCACTGGGGGAGCTCAGGACCCACAGCCAGAAGCCCCAGGGCACAGCTGCTTGGGAGACAAGGACCACAGCTCAGTCCTGGAGACCTGAACAAACTCTGCAAGGGCAGCTTCTCCCTGGGATTGCACAAGCACTCCTGTAGGGCCTCCCCAGCAAGGTGGCATCCCAACGGGGACTCCGGGTACTCACTGTCATGGCAGTCCTGCCCGGCATAGCCCTCCGGGCAGTCACAGGCATAGCCCTGCTCCAGCTCCAGGCAGCTGCCCCCATTCTGGCAGGGGTTGGAGAGGCAGGCACTGGGCACACGGGGGCCACCTGCAGGGACAGGGACGCTGCTGGATACGTTGTGGGGAGGGACACCGATGTGCCCTTTCCGCACAGCCCAATGCCTCTGTGAGGACGTCAGTGACATCCCCGCACCGCCGCTCACCGTATTGGCAGTTGTTGCCATAATAGCCCGGGGAGCACGTGCAGATGTAGCGTCCCGGGCGGATGTAGTTGCATGTCTGCCGGTTCCTGCAGCTCCGGTCCTCGCAGGAGGAGGGGTCTGGAGAGGAGGACGCCATGAGCCCAAGAGGAGGGCAGCGGGAACGGCCGCTGGCTGCCCCAGGCATGCGGGCACCAGGCACCTGTCTCACAGCGCTGTCCCACGAAGGGCTCCAGGCACACACACGTGTAGTTATCAACCAGGTCAACACAGTGCCCTCCATTCAGGCAGGGGCTGGACTCGCACTCGTTCACCTCTGTAACACAGGGCAGGGAGGGCTGGTTGGACACACCACGGACTTACAGCCTCGGGGATCAAGAAATAAGGTTGGGTGGGGATGAAGGGGTAAGAATGCAGCTTGCCGAAGTGGGACACAACTCCATCCCTACCAGGCGGGCTCCTGCTGCTGATCAGTGCCCACCTGTCTCGCAATCTCCTCCCGCGTACCCTGGCTGGCAGGTGCACACCGCTGTCCCATTTGCCACCTGGCACGTCCCGCCGTTCTGGCACACCTTGGTCTCACACGGCGACTCTTCTGCAGCAGGACAGCAAAGAGAAGGGGGTGGATCAACCCACACACAGGACCAGCACACCGTGTCCTCTGCCGCTGCCAAGGCAATACTGGGCAAGGACAGCTCAGACGGTTTCTATCCAGCTTTGCTTTCTGGGTGCCGGATCCCTCCCCCAGAAGGAAACTCCCCGCTCTCCCTCCCTGCCGGCACAAGGCTCACTCGGAGCCAACGCCAGCGCGGGGCGAGCCGGCATCGCCAGTAGAGGCTGCCCCGCCACTCTGCTCTGTGGAAACCTGGCTCCAGTGCTGAGCCCCTTGGCCATCGGCCCTCGCTGCTGTCCCCACGCCCAGAGGAGAGGTGTTGTGAGCAGATGCCTTTCTCGCCCCGGCGGATGTTGCTGCCTGCATTAGCAGTGACTCATCCGGAGGCGAGCCGGGGCTCGGGAAGCCTAGGAGAGCTCCCAGGTGCTCTCAAGGGCTCGGGAGCTGAGTGCCACTTGTAAAAGCCCCACGTGGAGCAGGGCCCTCCCCAGACCCCTTCTCAGGCACCAAGCACCAGCGCTTTCCAGCACATGGAAAGCAGCGGGCGCGCTGCTCGCAGCCATGCCGGGACAAGCACTCCTGGGAGCAGGCTGCCAGCAGAGGAAGCACTCGCTGCCAGAGCAAAGTTTCCTTTGCTTTCAGCAAGTTGTGATCCAAGACCACGGCACTCGGCGCCCAGCAGGGCTCCCGCTGGAAGCCGCTTGTTCCCGGGGCGCATCGAGAGTTGCTGCACAAAGCCTGACTCCCCAGAGCCGCTGTGGCTCTAGCAGGCGACCGCAGGGCAAGCAGACCCTTCCCCAGCACTGCTCAACGTCTAACAGTGGCTTCCAACCAAACACAGTGGGGGAGGCTGCAGGAGAGTAGCTGGCTGTCATCGGCTCCTCTACGCTCTCAGAAAACCACTGAGATCTTCCCAGCCTGCCCACGTGAACTCTGCACATCCCGCAGGCATGGTGCAGGGGCACGTGGGGTGTCTGAGAACCCTGCAGCCCCGCTGTGCCCCCATCCCTACCTGGGGATATCGGTGGTTCTCTGAGCACTTTGGGCAGGGCTCACAGGATGCCTCACTGCAGCTATGACACCTGCATGCTGGCTCTGCTGAGCCTGCTGGCACAGCCCCCGATGCTTCTCCGTCCCCAGACACTCCATTACAAAGGGGACATTCCCAAGCACATGCATCCCCTTCTCACACAGGGCAGCTAGACACAATGCTCTGCTCCAGCTGCCTGCAGGGAGGAGCCAAGACATCTCAGAACAGAGCTGAGATGTCCAGCAGGCACGATGAGTGCCAATCACTCTACAAGCAGCAGAGCCCACTCCAATGGCCACATCTCAGCACGACACTCACCGATCTCACAGCTGGCACCTCTGAAGCCTGGCGGGCACTGGCAGCTGAAGCTGTTGACGCTGTTGATGCAGGTGGCTCCGTTCTGGCACGGGTGAGACAGACACTCATCCACGTCTGAAAGACCATGGGAAGAGCAGGGGCTCAGGGCAGGCAAGGAGGCAGCAGCGAGGCCGGAGGCACAGGAAGGCTGCTCACCGACATGGCACCTTTTCCCCGTGAAGCCCGCGAGGCAGGAGCAGGTGTAGGAGGGGTTCCCAGTAATGCAGTCCTCGATGCACTTCCCCCCGTTCAGGCAGGGCCGCAGTGTCAGGCACACGGAGGCTGCGGAGACACGCACGCCCTCCGCTCACAGCCCGCTCCGGCTGGGCTGACACACTGCACTCCGGCCACGCAACCGCCGGGGTCCGTCCCAGCGTCCATCCAGCCCCGCTGTCCGTGCATTGGGCTGGACATGGTCACCCGGCTCTCCAGGGAGCTTGGGGAGCCCGCATTTGGGGGCTGTGTGCCCCACAGATGGGCTCGCTGCTCTCGGGCAGGGTGAAGGTTTTATTCTTGCTGCAGGAGCGGGGAGGCAGGGCCAGGGCCCTACAAGGCAGGGACAACCAGCGGGTGTTATCCAGCCAGCCCTTGCCTATGGCCTGGGGCAGAGGGGAAGAGGGATGGGAGAACCTGTCCAAAGCAAACCCACAGGTCATATGAAACACGCGTAGATTAGCAGGTAAGAAAACACAGCCAGGGTGGGGAGGGGACAAGGAACAGGAGGCCAGTGGCTCTGCCGAGGATGCACTGGGATGGCTGGGCACAGCCCCTGTATACTGCTGGCATCCTCGGGCAGCAGCTGCCTTGAGGCCCCAAAGGACAGACGAGCTGCCCTAAGGGTGACAGCCCAGCCCCACAGTGGTACCGGGGCCACAGAGCCCCTCACACTCCCCCTCACCTCCTCCCCCGTACCCCACAGCCTGTATTGGTCTCAGGAGCTTTCCTCCCCACTAGTTTTTTCCAACCCAGCACGAGTGGGCAGATCCCAACCACACTGGGGATTCCCAGGCACAGAGCCCAGGAGCCACACTTCCCACAGCCACACAGTGGGCTGGAGCCTCCAAGGATGGTGTCCCCATTGCTGCCCCCACCCCGAGCCCTCCCCAAGCCCCTCGAGCTGTCTGCTCCACCCGTGGGTCACTGCTCTCTCCCCTCAGGGGGGGGAAGTGAGGGTGGGGATCGAGGCAGGGAAAGATAGGGCTGGAGAACAGTTTGGGGTTGGGTTGGGAGTTAAATAAACCTAACTGCTGTCCTCTTACTTGTATTGCTGCAGCCCCCCACTTGCACCTGGGCATCATCGATTCTGAACACCCAGCGCCCGGGGATACCCACATTTGTCGTCATCTCCACGTCAGCGATGTCGTCAGTGCGGGATCCGGGGATGTTGAAGTAGCGCTTTCCATCACCGGCGTTAAAACCTGCCTGGGAGGACAAGGGCAGAAAGTAAAGAGCCATCAATACTGCAAAACAGCACCTGAGGGGTCGCGGCACGAGGGGTTGCTCTGCTGGACCGCGCATCGTTGCCACCGCCCGGGTTCCTTCTGCATCCCTGCAGTGATGGATCACTCCCTGGGATGACTGCTTTTCCCGGTGTCCAGGAGCACAGGCTCACAGAACCCACAGCCCAGAGACACGGGGTGAGAGGGACATTTCTTCCCCTGAGATTCCACTCCTCCTCGCAGGAGCTCCCAGAGGGCTGCTCACTGGCCAAGGTGTGCAGCAACTGCTCTGTTTACGTCCATAAAACCCATCCCTGCTCCTGAATTCGGGGATTCAAAACGTGTCTCTTTCCTCTACACCTGCGATTTCCTGCAGGCGGGCAGGCAGGGAGCCAAGGACAGATCAACTGGTGGTAAATTCACACATCCGAACGGGGACTGGGTTGCGTTTTTTTTTCCCCTCTTAAACACAACAACGCACACAAGGATGAAATAAAAATACAAGCAAAAGCTGTGCTGGCTGCGGCAGCTGACGGGCTGCTCTTAAAGTCTGAGGTTAGGAAGGAAAAGGAACTAAGAGGCAGTAGCCAAGGTAAAGAACCGTGGTTTCGTTATAACAAAGTCCCCTATATGGTCTCAGCTTCGGGAAAGAGAGCACACACGGATATTTAAGAACTTTAAAAAAGCAGGGGGAGGGAGGGAGCCACCACCAAAAATCCATGAGCCACACCGTGCTGCCAGAGTTGCTCTAGGGAATGCAAAGAGCACCGAGTGCGGTGGGCTCGGGCACTACCTGGGGTGAGGCCGTGTCCGCTGCTTACCTGCGCTGCGATGCCGCCAAGCCCAGCAAAGTCCCCCCCACTGCTGGCGTGCATACCCGTGGTCCAGGTGATGGACTCATAGTTGAAGATGGTGAAGGAGAGCTTGCCGTCCGTGATGAGGACTATTTGGAAAGTGTTTACCTACGGGATGGAGGAGAGAAGGCAGTGAGTGAGCACAGTCACATAGCGAGCGGGTCATAAAAGGACAGACTGTAACACTGTCAGGCAGTAAAGCTGCAGGCAGCATGCAGCAGAGGGGTGCTTCCTTCACCACTGACTCCTCTCCCAGGACAGATGGCCATGCAGGAGCAGCACCAGAGTTCAGCTCATTGTGTAGGGAGGCACTTTTGTGCCAAATGGCCTCAGTCTGTGCCACACCAGGACTAAGGAACCCCAGTGCCTCACAGAGAAACTCCTTCAGACACAAACTCCTATTCCCAGCAACGCTGCAGGGGAGGGCAGCAAGTGGCACAGCCCTACAGCATGGTGGAGCAGCCAGCCCAGGGAGCAATAAGCATGGCCAGCATGCAGCTGCTGGGGCTCTAAAGGGAAACAGGAGGTTCCCCAGGTTCTCCAAGTGCAGTGAATACCACACTCCTGAATGGGAAATCAAAATTATTCTGGTATGAAAGCTTGCCTTTGGATCCCTGAAGCTTAGAAGAAAGCTGCAGGATGGTGGTCAGGCTCACAGCAAAGAGGAATAAAGCCTTAGAGCCAAGTCTTCCACGAGCCCTGGGGCTCAGGGTTCCAGGCACAAGCCCAGGCTCCTCAGCACAGTCAGATGAACTTGCCGAAGACACCCAAGCTCTGCTTCCTTCAGTGTTACTCTCAAAAAACCCACCCTAAGCTAATTGCTCCCTCCCCCATCAGAGGATGCCAAGCTCTGCCCACCCCCATGGGTGCCCCCACTGCTCACCGGAGAAAACGAGCTTCCCCCGAAGAAAGTGACTCGGTACCACGTAGCGATGAACACCCACTGGGCAGAGAAGTCAGGGAACTCGGGGAAGTACTGCGCGATGTCTTTGGTCGCCCGCTCCAGGATGGCCCGGTCCTGGCTCTCCCGGTAATACACATCACCTGCCCGCCGGTTGTCCACGTCCGCCCAGAAAGCCGCCACCACACGTCGGTCCTTGGAGATCGGGAAGGCCACCGGCGTGAACTGGGAGACCTCCTTCAGGAAGGAGATGATCCCGTTGTTGTTCACCTGCAGGCAAGGGGGGGGACAAGAGGCAAGAATGGTGCCGGCCCTGAAGTGCGCCGATGGGGCCGTCCCCGCTGCCCTCTCAGCCCCAGCCACGCCGAATTCTTATTTTAAAGGCTCTTTTTGCTTCGCCTGTTCCCCCCGCAGCCTCCTTCCACAAATATTTGAGCGTTTCCCCTTCCTGCCCTTTGAAGCACGGGCGGCCCGGCCGGGAAAGTGGCCTCACCCCCCGACCTCCACCGAACAAACCCGGCCCTGTTCTCCTGCCAGAGCCTGGCCAGGCCTGGCAGGAATGCCTGGAAGAGCACTGGCCTGGGCTGGGGGCACCCAAAGCAGCGGTCCAGCCTGGCTAACGAGCGGCACCCAGCACCGAGGCCTACCAGATAGCAGCATATCGGGTGCCCAAACTCGTGGGCTCAATGCTCGCAGTGCTGATTAATTCTGTTAACAAGAGGCCAGGGAGGTGTGGGCACACACGTGTGACAATACTGGAGGGGCTGCTTCGCCCTGCAGAGCCTCGCAGCCTCCAGCAGCCCCTCGCATTGGCTGTGGCCATTTGTAGGGTCCCAAGAGCCGCAAGCAGCAGCACAGGGCAGGCCCTGCTGTGACTGAGGGGAACGCCATTCCCTTTCAGAAAACCCTCCATAACCTCACAGTGTCCGCAGAGGAACATTCTTCCCCTTATTAAAGCAAGATGGGAGAGAGTTAGTGCCAAGAAAGGGTTTTTTTGTTTGTTTTACGGAGGAAGGGGCAGGCCCAGAGGGACCCCCAGGGTCAAGCCCTGCACTTCGGGCCTTGTGCTTTGGACACAGCTTGTGAGGCTTCCTGGGGACGTGAGGTGACAGCCACCCCTACAGGGTCACCCCCCTCAAGGCAGACACCAAAGCCACTTGGCCCCGAGAACGGTGCATCTCCCACAGCTGCCACAGGGCCGGCATTTTCATCCCAAAGAAGTCCCTGTGCCAAAGACACACGAGGTTGAACAAGCGAGGTCCAAGCAACGCGTGCCCCCAGCTGAGACAGTGAATCAGAGCATCCCGGCAGGAACTGGCACAAATCTTGGTGTGCCCATCAGTCTGCTCTGAATTGTCAGTCAACTTGGACCAAATCAGAAAAAGGGGACGAGACCACTGGGACACCAATTTTCCAAAAGCACAGGGAGCATGACCACGATGCTTACTAGGCACTAGAAAATCCACACAGAAAATCCACTTTCCCCCTTCCTCCAACCCAATAGAGCAGGGTTTCTCCAGCCCCACTGCCCACAGGACACCTTGCATGCCAGCTGCTCCAAACTGGGCTGTCCCCAGCAGGGACCCAAGCAGGATCAGGCTGTCTGCTGTCAGGCTGCCCAGGGCACAGACATACTGCAGGCTGGGCGCCCGAGGGGGAAGTATGGGACAGGTCGCAGCAAGCCCCTGTGCTGTGCCCATCCCTTCCTGTATGTTGGGTAACACCTGGCCAAGCCCAGCAGCCTGCACAACCCTCCTTCTTGCTGTGCCAGTCCTCTGCCCTCTGTGCAGAGTGTTCCCAAATCCCAGCTCCCTCAGAGGCCGTCGGACCACCTCTTACTGCTTTGGTGACACTTTCAGAGGAAGCATCAGCAGTCAAAGGTTCACCCCATCACACTGCTCGGTCAGCCCAAGCACAGCGATTGCTCCTTCCCAAGGCCTTGCCTTCAAGGCTTGGCACCAAAGTGCGACCGTGGTCAGGATATCTGCCTGCACCTCCCTGAGGGACCAGCGTGATCGTGGTGCTTTCAGTGTCAGCAGAAACAAAAGCTTTCTGGAGACTGGCCAGCATGGTGAGACAGATGGGGACATGGACACGCTTCCACTGCTGGGTGCTGCCCGGTGATGCTTTGCTCTGATGGGAGCCCATCCCAGAGCAAGATCGCACGCTCCTGAGAGCTGAAGGCCACTGCATGGGACACTGCCGCACACCAGCATCCCCGGGTGGGAACGGCATGGAAAGCAGAAGGTTGTACAACCCTCGGAGGAAACGCAATTTTAGAATGCTCAGCAGATGCCAGCGCGTCCTGTCAGCTCAATTAATGACTCGCACATGGAGAGCAGCAGGCACGTCCCACATCACGGCCGGGACCTCACAACATCTGCTCCAGCAGTGCTGCCCGACCCCACCGGCACCGCCCGGCACAGCAGCCGCCTCCGCTCGGTCCCCTTTCCCCTAAACGCCGTGCTTTGGGCTGAGGACCCTGCGGTTTGCCCTCAGCATCGCTCCGATGCTCTGGATTCAGCAGGGATCACGCAACCACTCGTCCACCGCTGGGAGCGACGTGAGCTGAGCGTTATTTAAAAAGAAAGGCAAAAAGGCAAAAGAAGAGGCTGGGAGGGAGAGAAGGTAGCCGGCAGCCCCGGACCGCGGCACAGCCCCGCCTGCCCCGCTCCCCCTCGGCGGGCCCCCCGCGGCCCGGCACTCACGTAGAGCCCGGTATGCCCCGCTCCGAAGAAGGGGAAGCGCACGGAGAGGGGCCGCAGCTCGGAGCCGCCGTCGTCCTGCTTCAGCGTGGCGGCGTCGCCCTGCGCCGGCCCGAACGGGTAGAAGTCCGCCAGCGGCACCACGCCGCCCGCCCGCAGCCACTCGCCCAGCAGCGTCGCCAGCGCCAGCCAGCCCGCCAGGCCCCGCATGGCAGCGCCCGTCGCACTCCGGCCCGCGTCTCCCTCACGCCGGCACCGGCAGCCGCGACATGGCGGCGCGCGGGGCGGAGCGGAACGGAGCCGTGCCCGCAGCTCGGAGCTCCGCCGCCGGCCGCGCCGCTCTGCTCTACCCGCGGAGCGACTCGCTCGCAGCGCCCCGCTGGGGGCGCATTTGCATAGCCCGGGCGCAGCTGACCAATGGGAACGCCGATCGCGTCGTGGGCGTGTCTATGCAAATGAAGGAGGCGTGGCCGTGGGGTCCCCACGCGCGGGGTGTTCGCGCTGCCCCGGTTGGCGGCCGCTGCTCCCCCGAACGGGGCCCGAGAGAGCGCGGGGAGGGGAGGGGAGGGGACGGAACAAACGCCGTTATTTGCTTTTTTCCCTTCTTTATTTTTTTTTTTTTTCAGGTGCTAAAAATATTATCAGGAAATTCTTTTCAGGAATGCGATGTTTTAAGTTACGCTTTTCGGCTCAAGGGCCTCTTTGTCTCCTCGGAAAGAAAAATAGTGATAATTTAAAAAAAAAAGAAAGCGAAACAAACAAACCCCGAAGCAAAGCGTTTATCAGCAGCACATCGCTTATCCAGATGGGAAACGCTGCGGGGAGTGGGCTGTCCCACTGCGGTGCCACTGGGGATGCAATGGTCAGCAGGTGGCCCTGGGGACACGAGAAGCAGTAGGGGGGGTGTTGGGACACCGGGGGTTCTGCTCTATGCCCCGCTGTGTGAATGCTGCAGTGAGGCCGTGCTGTGTGCTGAGCACCAGCCAAGGAACAAATTATGTAAGGGCTGAAGTGCTGCAGTGAGTAACAGCGGGGCTCCGCCGCAGCACGGGCACCGCGTGGGTGCTGCCACTGCAGTGTGAGGGGTCCCCAAAATGCAGGACCCAGGGCTGTGGGCATTGATGTACACCATGGGAAGCTGCCCCCTCTGCCAATTGCGGGCTCAGGGCACACTGAGGGGTACCCCTGGCACAGTGCTCCCCCCCCCGAGTGTTTGTCCGTGGCCGCTGGCCCCAAAGGCAGCCCCATACAGGCACTGAGCACACGGAGCTCAGTGAGAGCAGCGAGGCAGCCCTGTCCCTTTAAAAATCTCCTGGAAGACAACGTTAAAAGGAAAAGAGAGGGGGAAAAAAAAAAAAAGGCGAAATCCAAAATAAATAAACGGCCACATCCGGATTTCCCCCCTGAGACACTAATAAAGGGTTTATGAGTTTGATACGAATTACCCTCCCTGGCCACTCGCAGCTGATCTTCTGGAAGGCATTAAGGCTGTGCTCCTCTCCCCATCCCACAGGACGCAGCGATGCTGGGGTACCCTGCAGCCCCTGGCCCCTCTGCTGCCCCACACCCATGTGCTGGCCCTGCTCCTGCCTGCACCTGGGTCACATCTACCATCAGGGTTGTGCCGTGTCCCCGCTCCCCATGCAGGCTCCAGCATCATGGACAGAGCTGCCCCGGGGACCCCGAAGCGCCCTGCACCCCAATGATGCCATCCCCTTCAGCCAGAGCACCCCACGTGCCCACCAGAGCATCCCAGCATGGCACATCTCGTGGGGACAGGGGTTCATCCTGGAGCATGAATGGATTTTGGGATGCGGCGATGGCCTCGTCGTGCTGTCGGAATTTGGGACACTAAATTGAAAGCAGGAACCGAGGCAGGAAAACAGCTGTTGGCCACAGCCCTGAGCGATTTCCTTTGGGTCAGAAGCTGGGCCCAGTGTGAAACCGGGCTCAGTGCTGGGGAGGAGAGCAGGGAAAAGAGCCCTTTCCCGCGCATCCAAGCCTGCGCTCTTGGTGCTGCCTTTCCAAAATGCCTCTTTCCCTTGCCTGCAGTGGCTGTGGCAATGCATTCAGAGTGCTCCTCTCCTTTGTCAGCTCCCAACACGTGCCCAAGAGCCTCCACACCCATCCCAGGTTTGCTGAGAGCCATGGAGCTCAATGGGGCAGCACACTAGGCTGGGAACAGGAGCAGGTCCTGGGGTCACCTTGTGCTAGGGGTCAGACAGAGCCATGTTCCCATGCACAGAGCAGAGCAGGTCCATCACACACCTTTGAGAGCCATTTCCTTCTGCTCGCTGCCATCCTTCAGGCCACCAAGTGGCCACCAACCACCAGTGCTCAGCCACCCATGGTGACCAGGTGCCCCAGAGCCCAATGGTGGCACGGTGGCTCTGTTGTGCCCGGCTGGGCAGAACGGCCCTCGGGAGCACGGGATCTGTGTTGCAGGAACCTCGGTATTCTTGGCCCCCCTCCAGCCGCTTCCCACCACACGCATTCATGTGCATGATTAGCGTTCTTGCATTCTTTGAATGCGGGCCAGATAATGAGTTCAAAACTTCATTAAAACATAATCTTTCCCTCGCCCTCCCCCCCCCCTCCTTCCCATGCACACGCACACACGTGTGCACACACACGCGTCCCAGAGCCACCTGGAGGCCCCCCCTGCCTGGGGACAGTGCTCACAGGGACCACCGGTGTCACACATGTGTTGGGGATCAGCAGGGACATTCTCTGGACTTGGCCTAATTAGCTGTAGCAGAGGGGGAGAGCAAAATCCAAACCATGTGCTTGAATTTAATACGAGCGCTTTCGTGCTGACCCGCTGGCCCCTCCACCCAAACGCATCGGGGCTCAGCAGGCTCTGCATCTTTAACAGCTCCCTGGGTCTCCCTGTAAGCCCCACAGCACATGGAGCAACTCTGGGCCTGGCTTGGGCTTTGTTTCCATCCCCGGGGTCCTACAGGGAAGGAAACAAACCCTGCAGCTGGAGGTACTGGAGGCTCTGGTAGGTGCAGGGTTTGCTCGTGGTGCTGCTCCTGGGCATGCTCCATTCCCCTGCCCCACACATGGAGTCATTGCAGAGAGAAGGATGGTGGGGCTCAGGCTCTGGGCACCTCCAAAGAGAAGGTGGGAGCCGGGCAAGGGCTAAATGTCATCAACCAAGCCGTGCTGGTGCAAGACCCAGGGCTGAAGGTGGGACCAGAGCCAAAGCAGTCAAAGCTCCTGGAGGAGGCACTGGGAGGGGGGCAACCAGCAGAATGTGGCTTTTCTTCGTGCAGGCAAGCCTCTCCACTGCAGTCCCCAAACCAGCAGCATCCTGGCAACTTGTAGAATCATCAAAACACGGAGGTTGGCAAAGACCACTAAGACCATCTTGTCCAGCTGCCGATCCATCCCCACCATGACAAACCATGAGGCTGGAAAAGAGCCCTAAGATCGTCAAGTCCAACCACTGATGCATCCCCGATGTGCCCACCGAAGACATGGCCAAGGAAGACACTTGTCCCTCAGACATACATGGTGACACTTTTCCACACAGTGATGCAGAGATGCACTCGCCCAGCACCAGCATCCCGCAGCCCTCAACCACCTCCAGCATCGCGTCGTGGCGGCACGGAGCGAGAGCGGAGTTCCCCATAGGACTGAAAGCCCTTTGGATGTGCTGGTGCTTTGATTACTTGACAGAGCATGTTTTTTAAATTATTCTTGTGTAAATATTTACGCATTTTTACAAGAACCATGTTGGGAGCAACAGGACATGGCCCAGGAAGGGACGAAGGGGAGCTGGATGGGCGTGGGACGGCCCCAGCCCTGCATCCATCCCCTGATCCCGAGGGCATGGAAAAGCGCTGATGCTGTTCAGAGCCACCCCCGGCGGCCCCGGCCCGCTCCCCGGGGCTGTGTTTTTGGGAAGGCCGAGGGTGAGCTCCCCCCTCCCTTCCCCCACCCGCAGATGGGATCCACAACGAGCCTGGCGTTTTCCGCCGAGCTCAGCAGAAATGAGCCCAGGAGGTCAGTGACCAGAGAAAGGGATGATCCATCATTAAATAAATTGTTTTCATTTCCCAGGATAAAGGGGAGGAAGGGGAGGGGGGGTGCTGGATTGGGACTGAAAATAAAATGAGCGAAATGCAGGAAAAGCCCCCCCTGCGTTCCCTGCACGAAGAGCCCCGCTCCTCCCGCTCAGCAGCCCCGCTCTCTCGCAGGGCTTTTACAGCCAATCCCTTAATGTGATTATAATAATTATTTCTTTACTAGCATTTTTTTTTTTTTTTATAAACAGCCTCTTTTGAAATTGCACCGGGGGAGCCAAGACTCCAGCTGAGCCCTGGCCCGCAGGAAGGAGTCGGGGCCGGGGGAGCGTGTGAACGTGCGCGTGTGCGTGCGAGCCAGCACGTGTGCAGAGCGCGGCCGTGCACCGGTGCCCATGCGGCAACCCGCGGTGCCCGTGCCCGGTGTGTGTGCACATCCCTGGGCTGTCAGCAAGGGCACGTGGTGCAGCGGCCACGCACATGTCAGCGCACACATGAGGGCACGTGTGTGTGCCGGGGAGCTGCCCCGCTCCCGAGCCTTCCTAAGGCTGTGACCCCCCAGCTCCCCGCGATAAGCATGCTGGTGTCGGCGCCCCATCGAGCCCCCACAACCCCTGCTCTGTGTGGTCCCTCCCCCCCCCCCAGCCCCAGGGCTGGGCTTTGAAATCTGTTGAAAGGAGACCGTTTTTGCCAAAATAAACAGCCTGTCATGTTAAATTACTCTCCCTTCCTCTCAAAGTCCCCTGGTTCCCTCTTCCCCCACCCCGATCCCGGCCTTTCTGCTGGGGGCCGTTCTGCTCCGGGCTGACTCCTGCTTCCCTGGGGCACACGGGAGGCAGCCGGGGCCGCTGGGAGCCGCTTGGCCTCCGCATGGCCTCCATCCTTGCTGCAGAAGCACAGCGGGAGGCTGGGGGCTGATGGTGGGCCCCCCAGCCCCACGCTGCAGCAGCAAGCGATGCAGAGCCGCTGGGTTCAGGCTGCGGGGCAGGGCAAGGCAGACCCTCTGTGTCCCGACCTCCTTATCCTCTGCCCACACCTCGCTCAGGTCCCCCAGAATTCACAGCCACTCCATTCCCTTTGTGGTGGAACAGCCACACTCCACGTCCCCACACTGGGAGCACAGAGCGGTGTAGGGGCGGCTGGGGAGCTGCTGAGCTGCTGCAGGGTGCTGCAGCCGGGAAGTGCCTTGCCATCTATCCCCACGCTGCTGGGTTTTTTCCTCTCTCTTGCTTGCCCTCCCCGACTTTTTTTTTTTCTTCTTCTTTCTTTCTTTTTTTTTTTCTTTCTCCTGTTTCTAATGGAGTGAAAATTCGTAGAACCATAAAATGCAGAGATGGAAAACGACCTATTACCTCATCCAGCCCAGCCCCTCTGCCAGCGCTGAGCCGTTCCCTGCGAGTGTCCCGGGTGACTCGTCTAGACCAAGCACGCACCGCTCCAATGGCCATTCCAGCACTTCCCCGAGGAGATTATTCCATGCTCTAACTGACCTTATGGTTAGGAAATTTTTCCTGATGGCTCAACTCAAGTGTTTCTGTGCTAAGCTGGAGCCTACTGCTTGCTCTGCCCTGTGCACCCATCCCTCTGTTAGCAGCAGGAGGCTGTGCTTCCCACCTGCAGGTCTAGAGCGGCCCTGGAAGGATTTCCATCTGTCTGCTGCTTCTTTGCTCTTGGGTCAAGTGCTTGAGGTCTTCCTCAGATGTGGGCCCTCAACCATGTCCTGTGTGGAGGAAATGGGCTGGGCTGGTGCTTGACCCAAGTCTTCATTTTGGAGCAGCAAGCATGAAGGCAAGCAACAGAAAGCAAGGGGCTGCAGCAAAATCCTCCGTGCCCAGAAGTGCCAAAGCCTTGGGCTCTGCTTTCTGCACAGCCAGGGTGGGATGAAGTTTGGACACATTGTTAGAGCCATGTGCTCATGGTATCACCTCCCACAGCGTGGAGGGTTGGGCTGGATCCAGCCTGCAAGTGCAGAGGGCTGGTGACTGCCCAAAGTCCCCGTGTCTGACATTTGGGGAGTTTGGCAGGAGGCTGTATGCAGGGAAGGTCATGACAGGGATTCAGGGGAGGCATTTTTTGATGCAGTTGCATTTGATTCCCAAACAACCTTTGATGTCAAAAATTTGCAGACTTGTTCTGGCCGGAGTTCCTCACTCTGTTTAGTGTTGGGGGTATCCTTCCTGTGTGCATTCCCCTTTGAATCGCTCTCTTGAGTGCTGACCCCCTGCATCCCTGCTGCTCCCAGGCATGCAATGCAGGCTGGAACAACAGCCAACCGCTCACCATCTGTGAGTGCTCCCAAGGGCTTTCCAGGTGGATTGCAGTAGGTGCTGCAGCACAAGCAGTCCTGCTCCTTCTGCACATCTCCATCTCACCTCTGGGCAGCCCTAGCTGCAGCCATATTCTGTAGCAGCCCATGAGTTCATGGACCCTATCAGCACTCTCCGCTGCATACCCCTGCCTAGGAAAGCCTCTCCTAAAGGATCCTGAGACACTTTGGGAATGTGGAGGATCTGTGCTCACTTTATAGAATCATAGAACGGTTGGGTTGGAAGGGACCTTACAGCCCACCAAGTTCCAACTCCATGCTGTGGGCTGGATGCCCCCCACCAGGTCAGACTCCCAGGGCCCCATCCAGCCCGGCCCTGAGCACCTGCAGGGATGGGACAGCCACACTTCTATGGGCAGCAACGTCAGGGCTGAGGTGCAGTCTCACCAGAGCCGAGTACAAGCGATGGTCATATCAAGACGCACGAGGCCAAGCGCACTGCAGGGCGGCAGAGGCAATGACAGCGCAGCTCCATCTCCAGCCGCTGCCCTGCCCTTGGCTCGCCCCGGCTCTCGCCCAGGTGCCACTCCTCAGCCGGGGTTCCCCCCGCCCAGCACTCGCTCCCTCCCCGCCCTCCCTCCCACGGAGCTCTGTGCTCACAGCTGTGCAGCCCCAGCCATGGCAGCGGGTGGGTGCCGCTGGCGCAGCTGCCTGGAGGTGGTCGCGTCCCGCCAGGGGCAGCGGGTGCAGCATTTCCAGCAAGCCGAGGACATCCTGCTGACCTTGCTGGAGCACGTCCACGCCGAAGAGCCCCGCTTCCTGGTGGACTACTCCAGGAACCTGGAAGCCTTCGAGTTTGTGCTGTGCGCCTCCGAGGATGCCGTCGTGGTGGAGGTGCCGCTGCGCATCGATGGGGATGCCCTGCAGGTGCGGCCGTGCCAGCCCACGGACACCGGGAGCATGGGACACGGGCACCTGGGTGCCTGCAGCCTCGAGGTGCCCCCTGCAGTGACTGGAGTGGGGGACTGGACCAGCATGGGCACCACGGGTGGGATGGAGCAGGTACGGTGCCTGGCACCGGGCAAAGTCCTGCAGCGCCTGAAAGAGCTCCTTGTGTCAGCCATTGTGCAGTGCCAGCGCTGCTCCCTCCTGAAGCCAGGTGCGTACTGCTCTCTCCATCTGCACTATCCCCGCCTCCCTCAGCTTCTAACACACTGTGCCCACACAGCTGCTCCTCCGTGCCAAAAACGACCCCAGTGTGGTTTGGAGATGGCATTTGCTAGGGAACCGCGGCCAAACCGCAGAACTGGGAAGGGCTGAATGGAGCGGGGTGGGAGGGCCCATGAATGCTGTGGTGCACACCCTCTCAGCCTGCAGGACCAGCTGTGGTGACCTCCTCACCTCCTCCTCGCTTGTCACCAGGTGACCTCAGTGCTGAAAATCTGAAGGAAGATGCCATGGAGCTGTCCCTGTTGGTGCGTGGTGGCTGGAGAACCATCCGCTTTGATGTGGTCCCGGTGGTCAGGAGGCTGCAGGAGACCCCAGGGCTGGATGGGAGGCAGCACGACCGCGGCTTCCCCGAGGGCACCATCCAAAAGGCCACCAGCGATGCTCACTTTGTCCCAGCCTCCAAACACTGCTGGAGGTGAGCAGCCCTGGCACGCAGCAGTGCCACAATGGTAGAGTTGTTCTAGAGCTTTGCATACAATTTGGGTGACTGACAGCAGAGCTGAGAAGGGCCAAGGTGGCATGTACCCTGCACCCAGCCACAAGGAGGGGCCGAGCATCCAGCTGGACCAGCCCAGGCTAATTTCAGGCTCACACCGGTTGTCTAACACAGGTGGGGCTGGTGTGTTGAGGAGCACAGCCCTGCTGCACCCCACCTATGTCCCTGCTGGGAGGGCAGGAGCTGCCCGCACCCTGCACATCCCCTGCTCAGCAGAGTTGAGACCAGGATGCTGCACGCCTGGAGTGAGCTGCTGCACCCTCTTTAGCCTCCCCAGCAGCTCACTGCTTCCTCCCCAGGCTCTCTACCCACCTCCCCATCCTGAAGCTTCTCTGGGCCGTGGACACACTGCAAGGACCCCGGCTAGACAGCATGCGCCTGCTGGAGCAGCTCCGCAGCCAAGACTGGAGGGAGGAGGACGGGAGGGATGGTCTCACCTTCAACCACCTGAAGGTAGGTCCTGCCAGAGGGAGGAACGTCCCAAAAACCCAGAGGGACCGAAGCCATGTGTGGAGTGGGATGGGCTATGCCAGCCGTGCCATGGGTTGTCCTGCACCCCGGTGCATCGGGAGGTGCCCATTTTTGGATCTGACGAGGCCCTGTCTCTCCACCCAACCTGTTTTTGGAACTTTGGGCCCCTGCCAAATGGTGACGCTGGTTGGGAAGGGGTTGTGCCGGGGACGGCTCCGCTGTCGCAATTGCAGCCCGCTCTGCCAGGGCGGAGGTGGAGAACACGGCCCCAGCCCAAAGCAACCCGAATCCAACAGGTTTTATTTCATGTCGTGTTCTTTGACGTTTAAGGGAAAAAAAAAAAAAAAGCCCGGTGCATGTTTATCCTTCACAAAGCACCTCCTGTGGGCTTCTGGAGAAATGCAGGCTGAGTGCAGGCTTTTGCTCAGGTTTTCTGCTTGGCTGGAGCCTCAAAACTCCTCTCTCACTGATGAGAGAGCAAAGGCAGCTGCCCCAGCACATCGCTGCTGTCACATGGATGTGATCAGCTCTGGGGCCCCAGCACGAGGGGCAGCTCTTTCCTGCATGCCTGGCTGGGCACATAGAGGTCGGTGCTGGGCTGTACCTGCCTCCTGTTGTGATGTGCTTCTGGAAGTCACGGACGGGCCCCTCCCCAGCACAGAGCTGAGGCAGCTGGAGCATGTTAATATTTCACACCTGTGGGGAGCCTGTGTGCATCCTTTCAGAGCTGCTCCCTAGCTGCCATCTCTTAAGGGAGCAAAGGAAAAGCTCCAGATGTGAACACGAGGACAGGCAGGTGTGATGCTGGGCTGAGCACCGGGCCTGGCTGCGGAATGGCCTTGGGGATGTGAAGGTGCATGGGCTTCCCCCAGGAATATCCTGCACTTCATTTTCCCCCTTTGTAGATGGTGCTGCTGTGGAGCACGGAGCTGTTTCCCTCTCCTGAGGATTGGCAGGACCTGGAGGGCTCTGTCTACAGGCTGCTGGTGGTCCTCCTGCGCTGCCTGGCCACACAGCGCCTGCCCCACTTCCTGCACCCGGAGCAGAACCTTTTCCAGGGGGATCCACACCACCTGGCCTCGCTCTACCCCAAGGTGGAGGCCTTTGCATGGGACCCTGCACGCTTCCTCCGCTTCCACTTTGGCCTCCCGACGCGTGCCGATGGCGTGCAGGCAGACCCAGCCCTCCGAGCCCTCCTGCAGCTCCCTGCCAAGGATGGGGCATACTGGGACACGGCCTATTTTGACATCCTGCTCAGCCAGGTAACTGGGAGGGAATGCTGAGACCCCTGGCTCTGCACTCAGCTGTTCTCACAGGCACGGGGCAGAGCTTCAGCAACACCTGAAATTGGCTGGGCAGCACAGGGTTCATCCCAAAACCTCCTGCCCTAAGCTATTACGTGCTGCCTGCCCTTCTGTAGCCTGAAGCAGTTGTGTGATGATGGCAGTGCTGCAGGGGGTCCGCTCCCTCACCACCCATGTCTCTGCTTAGCTGCAGGTGTACCGCATCCAGGATGCCACGCGCTGCTCAGCCATGTCCCAGCTCCTCACCAAGCTCCGCAGAGACATCCCACTGCAGGGCTGAGTGGGACTCACTGCCACTCCTGTGCTCACCATGGGGCGAGAGGAACCCAGGCTGTGGGGAACCCCAGGCTTTGTTGGGAAGCAAAGAAACCTTTCTGCTCCAAAGATTGGCAGGAACTAGCCCAGCTCTGCCTCTCTCCCCGTGCTGGGACTTCGCAGAGCTTCCCGCAGCTGCACCTTTCCTCTTGGATCTCGGCGAGTCCAGGCAAGCTGCAGGGCAGGGGAGCAGCATGGAGCTACGTGGCTTTATTCAGGAATGGTGGCACCGGGGAGCAGCACACGTCTGCAGCAGCAGATGGGTTGTGGTGACAGTGATGGAAAAGATGGGAGGGGAGGAGGGCTGCAGCTGGATCCTGCCTCCCTCCCCCCTGCCGAACACATTGGGCTGCTGAACCCCGGGGCCAGGCGGGATGGGGAGCAGGGCACTGGGAAAAGCAGGAAGGCTGTTGACCACCTCTGTGCCGTGTCCTGCCGATGTGCTGCTCCCTGTGGGCATTTGCTCACAGCTTGCTATGCTGGCAGTGCTGCAGGGCGTCTCGCAGGGCCCGCAGCAGGCGGTCCACGTTGTCCTGGGTTGCATTGTAGCCCATGAAGCCGATCCGCAGCACCTGGAGGAGAAGGGCAGGTTTCCCCTGCAGCACCCACCTTCCGGCCTCATGTGGGGCACACAACAAGCTGTATGGGCACACGTGTGAGAGTCCCAGTCTGTTCCTATTTAACCCTCATTTCCTCTCTGTCGTGATAAAGATACGTTACCCTACTAATTAATTATGTGTGCAGCTACTCAATTATGTGCAATTCTACGTGGCAAGGAGTGTTGCTGCACAGGCAGCAGGATGCACAGCCCTGTATCAATTTCGTGCTGCACTGCTGATGGCCACAGCCCTGTGTTGGCTTAGGGAAGGGGAGCACAATGCTCACCTTGCCTGCAGTGGAGCCTAGGCCCCCAGCGATCTCAATGCTGTGTTTATCCATCAGGAAGTCTGTGATCTCCTTCCAGTTGTAGCCTTCAGGCACCCTGATGGTGGTGACAGTGGGCAGCCGCGCCGCCTGGGGAGGAAAGGCACAGGGTTGGAGCCGCATCTCCTATCCGCTTCCCCAGATTGGGGTCCCTCTGCAGCACCAGGGAAGCTCTGAGCTGTGCAGGGCTGTGCCCAGATCCTGCTCTTACTTCCTCCTTCACGAAGAGCTCCAGCCCCAGATCCTGCAGCCCCTGGCACAGGCGGGTGCAGACAGCCCGGTGCTGCTCCCACGAGTTCTCCAGGCCCTGGCAGCACAGAATAGATGTCCCCTCCCTGAATGTCCCATGCCACCACCAACAGCTGGGCACCCTCTGCTCCTCAAACCCTGATGTAACACAGGCATGACCCAGCTCAGCTGTCCCTGTGCCCAGCTCACCTGCTCTGCCAGCATGGCCAAGGCCTCCCGCAGGCAGAAGATGCTGCTGATGGGCACCGTGTGGTGGTACCTGCAAAATTCAGAGGGCCCCAGGGCAGGTTCAGCCCCTGTGAGCCCCTCGGGCAGGCACATGGTTCTGTGAGGTGGGGAGAGGTGGGGAGCAATGGCAGAGCTCCACAATTCCTGGGGAGGGGACCTGGGCAGAGATGCAAATCTGGGACAAAGGGGCTGTTTTGGGAGTAAGGAGAAGAAATGCAAATGGAGCAAAGCAATTGGATAAGGTGGGGGGCTTTGGGGACAAGGGAGGATAGATTTAGGGTTAGGGTTAGTTATGTGGTGGGACAGCCACAGCCTCCTGTCTGGGTACAGCCTGCCCTCACATGCGTGGCTCGCCGTTGCAGCCCCAGTACTTTGCCAGATAGCCCATGTCCAGGTAGAAGGATGGGGGCCTCGTCTTCCTCCTCAGCATCTTCTCCCTGGCAGAACACAGGGCTTGAGTGCTGCCACGTGGAAGGGAAAGCCCTCTACCCACTGCTGTCCCTGGAGCATGGAGCCCAAAGCAAGCACTGGGTTGGCATTGCAGCCAGGGGATGTGGCCAAGGAGGAGGTCATGAAGCTACCTGTGCCCCCAGCTCTGCTGGGATGGGGCTGCCCTTACCTTGCTCGCTCACTGAATGAGATGGGAGAGCTGCCAGGGGGGGCACTGAGGACTTTCTGGGACCCCGTATACAGTACATCAATCCCTGCATGAGAGGGACCAAGGGATCTGAGCAGGACTCTGTGTCCCATTGCCAGTGGGAAACACAGGGCACACAGCACACATGCTGGTGTGGGGGCACACAGGGACCCCTGTGCCACACTAGCACTGCGGCTCTCACCCTGCTGGTCCATGAGGATGGGCGCTCCCCCGAGTGATGCCACTGCATCCACAAGCAGCAGGCAGCTGTGCCTGGAGGGAGACAGAACTCAAAACCACAGTTCCCTGCAGCCCAGCCCTGGTGGGGTCCCCAGGCACACTGACCGGTGGCACAGCTCGCCCAGACCCTCCAGCGGCTGCAGGACCCCCGTGGAGGACTCGCCATGGGTGATGAAGATCACTGAGGGTTTGTGCTGTGCCAGGCCCTAGTGGGAACAGCGAGGTGAGTGCCCATAGGGGGCTCAGTCCCGGCACCCCACGGGTGGCACACACCTCCTGAATGTCCTGCAGGGTGAAGTACTCGCCCAGAGGCTTCAGCAGCTCGTGGACCTTGGCTCCTGGGTGTGCAGAGGGATGGGGAGTTTTGGGCACGCATTATCGAGGGTCTGCCATAAACCACCCTGAGGTTGCCACCCCACAAAACCCGAGCTCTCTGCTGTTTCCCATCACCTGGGTGGGAGCAGCGGGCCCCCTGCTGCAGGGCTCACGCTGTCACCTCGCCCATAAGCAATCATACCCAGCCTCCTGGCGATGTCAGCTGCGCGCTGTCCCCAGATGCCGTTGACGCCCACCAGCACAGTGTCACTGCTCTCCAGCAGGTTGGTGAGGGCAGCCTCCATGGCGCAGTGCCCGCTGCCGCTGATGGCCAACGTGAGTCGGTTCTGTGTCTGGAAGGCATACTGGATGCCCGCCTTGATCTCATCCATCACCTGAGACGAGGACCAGCACCGCTGTCAGCCCGGTAATGCAGGAGGTGTGGGCAGACTGGCAGAGCCACTCACCTGCAGCACCTCGGGGTGCATGTGGCCCAGGATCTGCTGGCCACCGGCTGCCCGCACTCGGGGGGACACATTGCTGGGCCCCGGCCCCAGCAGCAGCCGGTGAGGCACGGCCAGCGGCCGCAGCAGCTCCCGAGGCGGGGAAACACGAGGTGCAGAAGCAGCCATGGCACAGCCAGCTGCACCGCGAGCCCGCAGGAGAGCAGCTGTGGATATTGGCAGCATTGCGGCACGGTGCATCCCCTGCCCACGGCTCCGCGGACACTGACCGCTGGACTCTGCCCCCGCCGCCTCCCATCCAGTTAATGTGCCACCAGCAGCACAGTGTGCTCAGCAGTGTCCTCTTGGGGTGGTCATGGGATGCAGTGCCTCACACAGGGCTCCGTCAGCCCTATCGGGGCCGTAGCGAGGAATGTTGTCACTGAGGATAAGGCTGAGGTTCTCAATGCCTTCTTTATGTCTGTCTTTAATAGTCAGGCCAGTAAAACTCAAGGTATTCAGCCCCCTGGGTGTGGGGAGCAGAACAAAACCCCACATTCAGAAGGAAACAGCAACCTGCTGCCTCACCTGGGCTGTACCAAGTCTGTGGGGCTGTTGGGACCCACCTGGGGTTGCTGAGAAAGCTGGTGCCAAGCAGCTGCCAAGCTGCTTTCCATCATCTTATCAGTGGTCCTGGTCAGCTGGGGAGGTCTCAGATGACTGGAAACTGCTAATGTGACACACACCTACAAGAAGGGTCTTAAGGAGGATCTGGGGATGTGTCACAGATGTGTCTGCCTGAACTCAGCGCCAGGGAAGGTTGAGGAGCAGATCATTGAGTGAGATCAGACGGCGTATGCAGGACAACTGGGGGATCAGGCCCAGCCAGCATGGCTTCATGACAGGCAGGTCCTGTCTAAACAACCTGATCTCCTATGAGCGGCTGACCCAGCTGGTGGATGAGGGAAAGGCTGTGGATGTAATCTACGTAGACTTCAGCAAAGCCTTTGGCTCTCTCCCACAGCATTCTCCTGGAGAAGCAACAGCAGTGACTGGGACAGGTACATGTGCTGTGGGGTAAAGAACTGGAGAGCTGGGCCCAGGGAGTGGTGGTGGATGGACTGAGATCCAGCTGGCAGCTGGTCATGAGTGGCATTCCAGGTGGTCATGACCAGGCAGCTGGTCATGGGTGGCGTTGGTCCTAGGAGCCGTGCTGTTCAATATCTTTATTGGTGATCTGGACGAGGGGATGGAGTGCACCCTCAGTAGGCTTGCAGAGGACACCAAATTGGGGGCAGCGTCCATCTGCCTGGGGGTAGGAAAGCCCTGCAGAGGGACCTGGACAGTTTGGATCACTGGGCTGAGGCCAGTGGGAGGAAGGTCAACAAGACCAAATGCCAGATCCTGCACTTTGGCCACAACGATGCAGGGCAATGCCACAGGCTTGGGGCAAAGTGGGTGGAAAGCTGCGGGGAGGAAAAACACCTGGGGCTGTTGGCTCAGGGGGGACCTCATTGCTCTCTGCCGCTCCCTGAGAGGAAGCTGTAGTGAGGGGAGGGGCTGGCCTCTGCTGTGGGTAACAGAAATGGGATGAGAGGTGATGGCCTCGAGTTGTACCAGGTTGGGTATTAGGAAACATTTCTTCTCAGAAAGAGCAGTGAGGCACTGGCACAGCTGCACAGGGAGGTGGGGTCACCGTCCCTGGAGGTGTCCGAGAAGAGGCTGGATGTCACGCTGAGGGACGTGGTCAGCCGTCACAGGTGCCGGTTGGTGGTTGGGCTGAGTGATATTATTGGTGGTTCCAACCTTAATTATTCTATGATCTTATGATTCTGTGGCACTCACGGGGCTGGGACAAGGGGTGCGCACGGCACCGAGTCCCGGCATCACCGCCCGGCACACGGCCTCTCCTGCCGGTCCCCGGGGAGCCCTCCGGCGCGGCTGCACACGGGACCGGGCGGGGGCCCGCAGCCCCCCCGGGTCAGGCAGCCGACAGGGCGGAGGCTCCGCGCACGGAGGGGGGGGGCGGTTGCCGTGGCGCCGGTTGCCGAGCGACGGTTGCCAGGCGCCCGTTGCCGAGGTGCCGGTTGCCGTGGTGATGCGGGTCCCGCCTCTCCCCGCGCCCTTGCGGCGGATCCGCAGCGCGGGGCCGGGGGTGGTGTTGGGGTGGGATGCGGTGACGTCACCGCCCCGGGCGGCGGCGGCCAATGGGAGCGCGGGGGTGAGGCGGGGCAGGGCGGGACCGCAGGGGCGGGGCCGACACCGCCCGCACCGGCATCGGCATCGGCAGCGGTACCGGTAGCGGCATCCCCACCGGCGCCGGCCCCATGCCGGTGCTGAGCGGCTGAGCGCAGCGCCCCGCCGCCCACGGGCACAGGTAGGGGCGGCGGCACCGGCACCGCGCGGGACCCCTTCGGGACGGGCTGCGGCCGCCGCCCCGTCGGGGCGCAGAGGAGCAGCGGGGGGCTGCGGGCTGCTGTCCGCCACCGTGCGGGCACGGGGAGGGGGGGACAGAGGGCACGGCGGGCACAGAGCCGCCGCGGCTTCCAGAAGCATCCGGCGGGGGGGGCGGGCGATGCCCCGGGGGCGGCAGGTGCGGGGCTGAGGGGCTCCTGCGCCGTCATCGTTACGCTTCGGGGCGAAACGGCGGCGGCCCCGGGAGGCGGCGGAGATCCGCGCGTGGCACCGCTGACCTTGGGGCGGCCGCCGCGACCCCGCGGACAGCGCTGGCGGCTTCGGACGGTGGGAGGGGGCGGCTGGCACGGAGCTCGGCCGCCCCTTTGTCCTCCTCCCCCGGCCCCGCGCTGCCCTCCATCTTGGCTGAGGTGGCACAGCGGTGGCCGCAGCTCCCCGCGGGCCCGCAGCCTTCGCATCACCACCTGCACGTTGGATTCGATCCGCGTTGCGGAGCTGCGGTGCCCCGACACCCGAGAGGGGCAGGGCGGGTGGCACAGAGCATGGCATGCAGCCGCCAGCCCTGAGTGCCCCCTCGGAGCTCAGGGATGGGCGATCCCAGCCCGCCTGCGCTGCATGCTGAAAACTGCACCGTCACGGCCCTTGTGCAAGGCTGGGTTGGGGACGCGAGATGGGTGTCCCAATGAATGTGACTGGGGACAATAGCCCTTCCGCAGGGTTTTTGGCCGGCCTGGGACAGGTGGAGGTCAGATAGATGCCACGGCTACCATCCATCTGAAAGGAAAAGTGATCCCAGGGGCCGGGAGGCTGGCAGGGGCACAAGGCTTTTACACTGACTTGGGAGGGGCGGGTGGCCAGGCCCCGGATGTGTCATGTCATTGAGGTAGTGGGAAGCGGTCCTCAGCCCCATAGGGTGTGACCCCAGCAGGAGGGAACCCGTGGGGATGTGGGGCAGCAGAACACCCAACGCTTGGTGGTTGATGTCACCCGAACCGCAGCATCCTCCAGGGGATGGGTTTCTGCTGAAGGCGGCATGGTGATCCTGCAGCATCCTGATGGGATGAGAAAGGATGGTGGCAGGGCATCCTGCTGTCACCTTGGCAGGATGGCAGCACGGGGTGTGGCAGCGCCGCCTTGGGTTTATCTAATCCCTTCATCTAATCCCCGCTCAATTAATCTTGGCTGATCCCATTAATTGTTGCTCTGTGGCCATCGGGCCGCTCCTGCGATGGAGCTCTGCGGGGAGGGGATGCGTTGGGGACACGACAGCCACGTGAGAGCCTCCCTCCCTGCTTCCCACCCGCTGGACCGCTCCCAGCGGCGCCGGCCTTGCGTTATCGGATTTCTCTCGAAGGCAGCGGATTAGGCAGGCAGTGGCCCCAGGCACAGGGATTGGGCCGGGAGGGGATGGCAGCAAGGAAATGAAATGGACGGAGTTGCTCCGAGACAGAAAATGGAGCCCGGCGCCTTGGCGTGGCTCTGCGGTAGCTTGTTCTTTCCCTTTGGTCACATTTATTTTTTATATCCCTCGATCCAAGGAAGCAGCAGGATGGGGGATGCAGAGGCGTGTGTGCATCATGCTCACTGGGCCCAGGGTGCTGTTGGCAATGCACTGGAAATAGAGCTGAGAGCAGGTGCTGGGGCTTGGCATCCAGTGGGATGCAGTGAGTGGGGTTTTGGTAAGCCCAAGCACCCATGCACTCCTCCTGCAGGGATGCAGTGCACCTTTAACACGGGCAAAGCATTCCCCAAAGGCAGCACCACACTTGTCGTGCCTTCTGGCTGTGGATTTCTCACTGCACCACGCACATACCCACCCTTGGGCAGAGTATCGTGGATTTTGCATCCCCTTGGACTAACACCCAAAGGGTTTTAAAGCGGTGCCCTTCTCTCGGGACCGTCCTGTGGGTTTTCTTCTGCCCTTTCTTCGTTTTCCACAAACTGAGCTGTTCTTTTTCCATGTGAAAGCCCATCCTGTGTTCAGGGCCCAACACACCGCTCTGGCTTCTGACATCCGAGGAAGCGAAGTGGGACTGGCGCTCTTCCATTTGCACCTCCCTGGGGCGAGCATCCCAAGGCCCCTGCTACGTGCCTGGGAGCCACTGGGGCCCTGCTGGCAGGGTTGCCCTTTGCTGCTGAGAACATTGATTGCTGGCTTAGTGAGATGGAGCGGAAAATAGCTATTGAGTGCACAGGGCAGGGCAGCAGCCATCCGTGGGGCACTGAGAAACCGCAATGTTTTTGTGCAATGCCCTCCTCCCACTGTCTGCCCTCGAGTCAAAGGGTTTTCCTCCCTTCTGGGCTGGGGGCTGGAAGCTGCGTGGATGAGCACATGAAGGGCAAAGGGGTGCTCACTCCATGGGATCAGCACCTCGAGGTGAGACAGCTGTCCTGCCCCCAGCTGCAGGCGCCGTGTCCCCTTCCTTCCAATTGATGCTGCAGGTGGCTGGGTGATGCTCTTGGCTCATCTCGTCTCAGTGACGGATCGTTCCTCCGGCAGGGCCTAGAGGTGGGAGCTCCCCTAACTCCTCCTTCTCGCCCCACAGGACAGCTCCGTTAGCAGCACCCATCCCAGCCGGCGCCATGGCGGGAGCATCCGTCAAAGTGGCGGTGCGCGTGCGGCCCTTCAACTCCCGCGAGATGAGCCGGGAGTCCAAATGCATCATCCAGATGTCAGGAAGCACCACCAGTGAGTACGGCATCGTGAGCCCCCCGTGCACTGCGGGAGCGGGGTTTGCACGGCTTGCAGGGAGCAGAGCAGGGGTTGACACCATGCGATGGTGGGGAAACGGTGCCCTACATCCCTCCTCTTTGGCTCTGGAAGCATGCAGATGGGACAGCACCTAAAATAACTCCCAGCTCCCTGCGTCACTGGCAGAGCCGGTGCCAGCCACCCCCATGGCACACACCGCCAGCAAAGGACGCTGCAGCGTGACGTGTGGGGACGTCTGGCAGGTCCCGGTGTGGGCAGCGCAGCTCCCGCCGGCCCTTTGCTGACGGCGAGCTTTTCCTCGCCCGCGGCGTCAGGCGATGAATGAACAAAGCATGGGCTGATCCCACTGGGGGGGGGCTGTGTGGGGCCGCGCTGCTCCCGGAGTCGTGCTGAGCCCCTCTCGCCATTGGAGCGTGACGGCCTGGGGCAGCCCCTGCCCGGCAGCGAGGCCAAAGCTGAATGCGGTTGGTGGGGCGGAAGGTCCTCTCGCAGCCTCTCCCCCTCCCCAGGGTCAGCTGCAGAGCGGTGTAGCGGCGCGGCTCTGCGCTCTGCATAACTCATTCAGCAGAATTCATCGCGCCCTGCTGGGTGCAGGGCAGGGGGATGGGAGCGAAGGAGCCAGTCCTTCCCGCAGCCCTTGTTCCCCAATTTCCAGCCCCCCTCCCTCATACTTCTTGGCTCACGGTGACCAACCCTGCCTGCCAACACTGCTGCTTTGTTCCACTGCAGCATTGCCGCGGGGACCCCGGCCTCCTTCCCACAGCCCATTGCCATTCCTGAGGGCAGCGTGGCACCGAATGGCCACGGGCTGGGGCTGGAGGAGCCCTGCAGGCACTGCCGTCCACGGTGCTTTTCCAGGTGCTTCCCCACACTGATGTCTGCTCTCTGGAGCTTTATCCCAGCCTGAGGCCTGACATCTCTGTTGTCATGGCAAAACATGGGGCTTCAAAATACAGGGATTAATTTCATTCGGCTTTGTCCATTTCAGTACTTATATGTGGCAAAGATAAGCGACATCTCCAGATGCTCTCCTCCTCCCTCTTGCCCGTACCTGTTTCTCCCCATCATAGACTCATAGAGGTTGGAAAAGACCTCTGAGAATGTCCAGCACATCCATCCCCTCGGTGGCAAATAACCAGGGTGAAAAAAGGGGCATGGAGAGCATCTCAGCTTTGGGGATGGGACAGGATGGGAGACCCACAGAACCACAGTGCATTTCCCCATTTCCCAGCCACTGGCCATGCTGGGGCCGTGCCCCCCCCGCCAGCTGGGTATCTGCAGCTGGGACACACAGAGCTGCTTGGTGCCATCCCCGCTGCTCCCAGCCCTGCACCCGGCACTGACAGCACTGCGACATGCAGCATCCTTTCCGTGCCAGCTCCTTCTTGCTGCGGGTCTTGGTCCTGACCCCTCCTTTGTCACCTTTGTGGTGACAGGTCAAGGACACGCTGCCAATTCAGTATGGCAAAGCCCGTTCCCTAGCGACCCCGCTGTTCATGAGAAGACTTCATCATTAATTTAGGACCTGGGTTGTATTAAGCACAGCAGTGGTTGTGGTGTCCTCATGTTTGCACTGGGTGCTTTCTCGCCCCATTCCAAACTTGGAGCACTTGGGGTGATTGTGCCATGTGGGCAGAGCTGCAGGCACCTGCGTGGGGCAGGCGGATGGGCAATGGGATGGCGATGGGGCATCCCACCCTGGGGGAGATCCATTGGAATTTGGGCTGAAGAACCCAATGAAATTTGAGTTGCGGAACCCACTGGGATTGGGGTTGCAGAACCCACCATGGTTTGTGCAGCCCTCTCCCAGCTGCTCAGTAAGCTCCCAGCCCCACAGCAGTGACAGGGAGCACTGTGGTCCCACTGCCACCGCTGCATGCTGGCAGAGCTCTTCGTGGGGGCTGGGTGCCCCACGCTGGGGGCTGTTTCCCCCCCTCCCCACACAGCCCTGCGCATGTTGCAAGGGCATCTCAATGTCAGCGGCGATTGCTGAGCGCTGCGTCCCGTGACTGCCCTCCTGGTTTGGGTTTCTTCTGACGCATCTCTATGAGTGTCGGTTATTTCAGAAGAAAATAAAAAGCATCATAAACACTCCACGGGGTGGGGGAGGAAAAAAAAAAAAAAAAGAAAAAAAAAAGCGTCGAGCAAGTGAGAAAGAGAAGTGATGCAGTCTCTAATTTCCATGGCAACATCCTTTTCACCAGGGGATGGGAAAAAGCAGGCTCTTGTTTCTGCTGGCGGTTTAACACAGGGCATTAATCACCCTGCTGCTGCAGGGAGGATAAGGTACCAAAATAAAGCAGCGAGCAGGAGGGGGCTGGGAGCACTGCTCCAAGTCCCGGAGGGTGGCTGTAGGGGGTCGGGGCTGTGACCCTGAGCTGTCCCCACGGTGTAATGGGGCAGGAGGGAGCCCAATAGAGGGAGCCGCTCACCCGCATAAGGCTTTGCCCTCCTGCCTGTCCCCAGTTTCCATCCCAATGGAGATATAGAAGTGAGCCCATTGCAGCCCACTCGGCTGTGGGATGTGGTGCTGCCACCTGGTTTCATCACATCTCTCTCTGTCTGCCCCCAGCTATCCTGAACCCGAAGCAGCCCAAAGAGACACCCAAAAGCTTCAGCTTTGACTATTCCTACTGGTCCCACACCACGGTAAGCAGCAGGGGGCCCGAACCCAGCTGAAGTGGGATGCAGCAGGATGACCTCTTTCTCTGATTCCTTCTCTCCTTCCTCCTCTCCGCAGCCTGCAGACATCAATTATGCATCTCAGAAGCAGGTGTACCGTGACATCGGCGAGGAGATGTTGCAGCATGCCTTCGAAGGCTACAACGTCTGCATCTTTGCCTATGGGCAGACTGGTGCTGGCAAATCCTACACCATGATGGGGAAGCAGGAGAAGGACCAGCAAGGCATCATCCCACAGGTACTGCCTGGTGAATCGTAGAATCATTCAGGTTGGAAAAGACCCCTCAGAGTCCCAAGTCCAATCCCAGCCCACCTTACCGTGCCCACTGCCCACGTCCCTCAGTGCCACATCTCCACAGCTCTGACCGCCTCCAGGCATGGTGACTGCCCACCTCCCTGTGCAGCTGTGCAGTGCCTCACTGCTCTTTCTGAGAAGAAATCCTTCCTAATACCCAACCTGAAAAACTGCCTCACACCTGAGCAGGATGCCCAAGGAAGAAGTCAGAGGGAGGGACAAGCCGGGGAGATGATCTGTGGGTCATGGGGACTGCAGAGCATCCCTCTGCCTGGGGCTGAGCATCCCAACTCTTGTCTCTGCAGCTGTGTGAGGACCTCTTCTCCCGCATCAATGACACAACCAATGACAACATGTCCTACTCCGTGGAGGTAGGCACATCTCCTCCTGGGAGTGGGACGCTGCAGGCCCTGCGAGTTGGCCGTGTACCAACATCATTAATTCCAAGTGAAACTCAGAGCCCTGTGCATGCTGTCCCCAGGTGAGCTACATGGAGATCTACTGCGAGCGGGTGAGAGACCTCCTGAACCCCAAGAACAAGGGGAACCTGCGGGTGAGAGAGCACCCCCTCATGGGTCCCTATGTGGAGGACCTTTCCAAGCTGGCCGTGACCTCCTACAACGACATCCAGGACCTGATGGACTCGGGGAACAAGGCCCGGTGAGTGGGGTGAAGGAGAGCACTGGGACTTGAAGAGCTTGCAGGCACCTCTAGGGACATCAATATATTTGTGCATGGGCTGAAGTTGGCTGAAAAGCTTTCCCTGGTGCTGGGGGCAGGGTGAGAGGTTGGTTCCTCTCTGCTTCTTTAGAAAGGAGGCAAGATATGATCTGCCTTGACTGCACTGCCCCATAATTGTCCCCAGTATCACCGCTCTGGCATCCCCTGCGGAGTGTCATGCCTTCTGTCCTCTCCCCACAGCACGGTGGCTGCCACCAACATGAATGAGACCAGCAGTCGCTCGCACGCTGTCTTCAATATCATCTTCACCCAGAAGCGGCACGATGCCGAGACGGACATCACCACTGAGAAGGTGAGAGCAGAGCCCCTGGGAAACCCGAGAGGACACAGCGAGGGCTTTTTGTGCCACTGCTGGCCACGGAGAGCAACTGGGAAGGTGCTGGGTGTTGGGTACCGGTGTGTTGGACATGTGCCGAGCCTGCTACAGCTGTCAGCTCTGTCTCTGCCTGCAGGTCAGCAAAATCAGCCTGGTGGACCTGGCTGGCAGTGAGCGGGCTGACTCAACCGGCGCGAAGGGCACAAGGCTGAAGGTGAGTGTGGAATGGTGATGGTGCCAGGCCCCTCATCCCCAGGTGTTCCTTGTCCTTTTCCCACACACTGCACTGGACACTGACACTTTTTGAGTTGCCCAGTGCCAGGTCAAGCAGGATCCACAGGCTCCACTTGAGAGTTGCTGGTTGCCCAGTAAGACCAGCTGCTGTTTGCGCACCCTGCACCAGGGCTTCCCCATCCTCCTTGGCTGCTGGGCTTTAGCGCTGCTCTGAAACAGGGTCTAATGATTTGGGCTTTTCTCTCCATCAGGAAGGAGCAAACATCAACAAGTCCTTGACCACACTGGGAAAAGTCATCTCTGCTCTGGCTGAAATGGTAGGTAGCCTGAGCGTGGGTAAACAGCCCCATGGAGCACCCAAATTCCCATCTCTAAGGGAGGTTGGGCACCCAAGCTCTCAGATATGAAGCACCCAAGCTCCCATCTCCAAAGCAGATGCAGAACCTAGACTCCCAGCTCTCAGGGATGGGCAGATATGTCCCAACCTATCCTGCACTGCCCAGCCCCCGTGGCTGGAGCCAGCTCATCTGATAATACTGGCATGTTCTTGGGATCCCATGCTGGGTGAAGAGATGGGGAGCAGCTTACTGTCACCTCCCTCCCCCGCTCCTTTCTATTTGCAACAGAGCTAAACAATTTTTCTGCTTTCTTTGCAGGATTCGGGGCCAAATAAGGTGCGTGCTCTGATGGGGCTGGGTGGGTTTGTCTCTTGAGGAGTGGAAGTGGGTTGTGTGGTGGTATGAGTTGAGCCCTGTAGGGGTGAGACACTATGGATCCAATTTACGCTTCTCTTGTGGGTTAGGCCGATCCCTCAGCATCTTGGCCAATGCATGACTCTTGTTAGACACCTCCTAGTCCTTGCAGTGCATTTTGAAGGCGGGATCTGAACATTTCAGCAAAAAGGAGAGCAGGCAGTCTGACAGCCTGACCTTCTGCTCCCTCTCCCCAGAACAAGAAGAAAAAGAAGACAGATTTCATCCCATACCGGGACTCAGTGCTGACCTGGCTGCTAAGGGAGAACCTGGGTGAGGCTGCAAGGCTGCGAGGGGTCTGGGGGGTATGGCTTGGGGGGGACCACAGCTTACTGAAATGTTATGTCTGAACAGGAGGCAACTCCAGGACGGCCATGGTTGCTGCGCTCAGCCCTGCTGACATCAACTACGATGAGACGCTCAGCACATTAAGGTAGGCTTTGGCAGGAGGTCCGGGGTCGGGTAGATCTCCAAAGACCAGGTTTCCCTCGTGCTCTGCGTCCCTTCCCTTCAGCAGGGAGGAGGTGAGGGCTGCCTGCAGGCCCCTACAAGAGGGACAGTGCCCTGCCACGGGTCCTCTGGCCGAGCCACCCTTCTCAGGGCCCTGTCTCTCCCCAGATATGCCGACCGTGCCAAGCAGATCCGCTGCAATGCTGTCATCAACGAGGACCCCAACAACAAGCTGATCCGGGAGCTGAAGGACGAGGTGGCCCGCCTGCGTGACCTTCTCTATGCCCAGGGGCTCGGGGACATCATTGACAGTAGGTACCGCGCCGCGCACAGCCAGGCTCTGGGATCTTGTGGGGATGCTCCCAGAGCTGCCCCGTGTCCTGCTCCACACTCAGACCATCTCATTGCCCACCTCACTGTGAGGAATGGCACGTCCCCTCCTTGTCACCACCCTGCTGGGACATCTGTGACCAGCCCCGCATATGCCATTCCAGAGCCCTCCTCACCCCACAGTCTGTGTCCCACTGCCTGGGATGATGCTGGGGGCCCCAAGGCCTCTCCTCCCCGTGCTTTCAGGCTGTTGTCAATCCTACCTAGATGAACCCACTCTTGTTCTGTTTTCTTTGTCTTCTTCCCCCCGCTGTCTCTCTCTCTTAGCCCACCCTGCTGCGGGAGGATCCAAATGTGTGTATTGCCTGTCACTGGTACTCTGTGTTGCTTCTCTGCTTTGGGTAGGCTGTGCCAAGGAGCATTTGTGCAGCATGGGGAAGAGCTCCCACAGCTGCTCCCAGGGCGCTGGCAAAGGGCAAACTGGGCAGAGCCCAGTGCTCTCCCGCAGGAATGGTTGGCACAAGGGTATCCCTGCACTGCCATCGTGCCCTTCCCTCGTGCAGGGCACACTTAGTGCAGTGTGAGGTCCTGCAAATTCATCTGGTGGGACCTGGTGTTACAGTCACCGCAAGGACTCTTTTCCCCATGCTGTAACTATGCTTCTCCTTGCTGCTGCTGCTGCTGCTGCTGGGCTGATTGCTGCTTCTGGCACTGCTTCTGAAGGCATGGGCTCTGCTCCCAGGGCAAACCGGTGCCAGGCAGGCATGGTGTGATGTGGGTGGCCTTGGGACACCTCGGAGACTGGTTCTGCTGAGGATCATCCTGGGGACAGCAGAGGAACAGGGTGAATTCAAGGTGGAGACTTCACCAAGTAATGGGGCTTCTGTCCCCAAGCAGCCAGAGGGTGACACCATCTCTCCTGGTAGTGCCTGGGCAGACGGAACGGTTCTCTCCATAGAAGCTGGCTGGCTTCTAGAAGCAGGGAGGATTGGAGTGGCCAGCATCCCCGGAGAGGGGATGTTGACTCATGTGCACATGGATTGCACAGCAGCAGCAGCTGCAAGCATCCTGCTGGGAGATGAGACCAGCAGCTGGTGGTTGCTGATGCTTGAGGTGCTGGGCTGCAGTGAAGTCTGAACACAGGTCCCTACCTCCTTGTCCCCTTTGTAGGGTGGGGGCTCCTGGCTCTCCTTGCTTTCCCCAAATTCCCCTCGCTCCCAGCCCAGCTCATCTGGGGCTGTGGGGCAGGATTCTACATGTGCTTGGGCAAGGTGGTTTAGGCACCATGTCATCAAAAAGCATCCCCAGCAGCCCAGGAAGGGCTCCCAGACTGGTCCTGAGCTGCTTCTGACAGTGGCCCCAGTGCACTGCTGCTGGTCTGCTCTGCCAATGCTCTGCCTTTTTATTTCAATTTCTGCCTTTCTTCTTGCCACTCTTTTTTTTTTTTTTCCAACAGCTTTTCTCGTCTCTGTCTTCTTTCTCTCTCTCTTCCTTCTTCCTGTCCATGTGTCTTCCCCTGGCCCATCCCTCTCCTTCCCCACCCGTAGATGTGTCCGACTTTGAGAACAATAATGGCACTATTGGGACAGAGCTGATCCAACGCCATGACAATCTCTCCACAGTGACCAACGCAATTGCTGGCATCAGCCCCTCTTCCTCCCTGTCGGCTCTCTCCAGCCGCGCAGCCTCTGTTGCCAGCCTCCATGAGCGCATCATGTTTGCTCCAGGCAGCGAAGAAGCTATTGAAAGGCTCAAGGTAGGAGGCTGGCTTGTTGTACCCACTGTTTGCTGGGTGTAGAGAACGAGAGTTAAGAGCAGCAGCTGAGGGAAGTGGGGCTGTGCAATCTGGAGGATGCTGAATCCTAGCCTCGTCGCTCTACAGCCACTTGAAAGGAGAACGTGTCGGTCTCTTTGCCCAGGTGACAAGTGACAGGCCATGAGGAAACAGCCTCAGATTGTGCCAAGGAAGGTTCAGACTGGGTGTCAGGAGGAATATCTTCACAGAAGGGTGGTTAGGTGTTGGGCTGAGTCCCCACCCCTGGAGTTGTTGAGAAGCCATGTGGGGTAGCTCCAAGTGCTGTGGTCTAGTGATGAGACATGGTGGGTTGGGTTGGTGGTTGGACTTGGTGACCATGAATGCCTTTTCCAACTGAAATGTCTCTGTCATTGTGATTCTGTGGACCCGGAGCTGCCAGGTGCCCTGGGTGAGGAGTGGGATTGCTGTGGTGGGGCTGGGCTGGAACTGTTGTTGCTCTGTGAGATGCAGTGAGCGAATGCAGAGCCCATCAAAACCAGGCTGAAAGTGGGGCAGCTCCATGGCTGAGCCCAACCAAATGTCCAAAACGCTGAGCCTCCTTCACCCTACCAGGAAACAGAGAAGATCATTGCTGAGCTGAATGAAACGTGGGAGGAGAAGCTGCGCAGAACAGAGGCGATCCGGATGGAGAGGTGGGTGGATTGGGATGGGGGCAGTTTGGTGACTCCCATGGGCTCCAGCTTGCCTGGTGAGCACGAGGCATCCCCAGGGGGCACGCAGGGAGCAGTGCAGGGTGGCTGCCAGGGCTGTATTGACAGGCTCTGCTTCCTGCAGGGAAGCCTTGCTGGCCGAGATGGGGGTGGCCATGAGAGAGGACGGAGGTACCCTGGGTGTTTTCTCTCCAAAAAAGGTAGGATCCTCTAATTCTCCCTGCTAAGCGGGCAGGTGGTACCTATGCAGTTCCCTCCAAGCCTATCTGTGCCAGCCAGCCCCAGATATTTCCAGGGGGCTCTCAGAGATGTTAACTGTTAGCTGTGGAACCTGCAGTGCACATTTCGGTGCCAGCCCTGCTCTGTCTATATGCCACATGTTGCTGCAATAGAAGTGCACAGATAAATAGAAGAGCCATTCCCTGCCACAGAGCACATGGAAGAAACAGCGCCCATTCAAGAGACACCGTGGAGCCCCGGTGACAGTTGTGGTGTCAGGCTCTTGGTGTTGGCTGCTAACACCTGGGGCATTTGATATTGCTGTCAGCCTTCCTTGCTTGGAAACGGAGGCGCAGCAGTATTAAATAGCATTAAACAGCATCCCAGGAAGCATTTTCTGAGCAAAACGCTGGCCCTATCCCAAGCAGATCATCTGGCAGTGAGCCCTGCCAGTGCAGTGCTGCAGCTCCTCACCGCCACCCAAATACCTCATGGGACCCACGGGGTGAAGAGAGCAGGCTCTGCCCCCAGCCCCTGCTGGGACAGGTGGTGATGAGCACTTTGGGACCCTGATGTGGCTCTTGTGACAGTTTTCACACCACCATCTTTGTTTTTCACCTGCCTCAGCCGCTGCCCATTAGGCCCCCTGATGTGTGTGTGGGAAGCATGGGGGTGTATTCCCCAAAGCAGGTTGGTCCTCATGTGGCCTTGCCGTGGTGTTCTTGGTGCCAACCTTTTCTTCAGCTCTCTGATTTCTCCAGCTGCTGGTGAGGAATGCTAGCTCCAAAAGCGTGCAAAACATTCTGATTGTGAGCAAAGCACAGCCAGAGCTTGTTGCCCTGCTGTACACCATCACTGGGGTGACAATTTGTCCAAATCTTGCAAATCTGGAGCAAAATTGCAAACCAAAAGAGCCTCAGAGGATCTGGAGGGTATGTTATTCCTGCCAGCCACCATGGAGAACAGCCTGTGTTTCCCTTCACCTCCAGCTCTCCTGCCCTGTTTGCTGTGAGTCTCTTGCACCCATCCTGGTTTATCCAGCTGGGGACACCTCTGCATGCGGAGTGCCCACAGGCTGATAGGATATTTATCCTCCTCTTTCTGAGAAACTCAGAGCTTGTCCCGCTGACTGAAGGTGCAATTGCAGTAGCCTGCAGTGGGATGAGACAAGCAGAAATTCCCTCTCATCAAGTGCACAGTGGTCATGGCTTGTGGGAAGGAAATCATGGGAGGGAGCTGATAGGAGGAAGGACAGAGAGTGCAGACGTGGCCACCTCCATTTGAGGACTCCTTGTGCTGGGCCTTTTTGCATTCCAAATATTCCCAGCAGCCAGGGAAAAGCCACCAAGAACTCAACCCTTGGAAGAGCAAAATGAGGAGGCTTGGTGGAGGCTCACAATGGAGTCCAGCCCTGGTTTTGTTGGTACTAGGTTGGGTCAGGGTGGCCACAGGACTGGATGGTCATGGAGGCTGAAGGTTGAGGAGCTGGGGGTGAGCTAGGGTTTCACTGTACCCTGATGACTCCTTCTTGTGTCCCCCAGACGCCCCATTTGGTCAACCTAAATGAAGACCCGCTCATGTCTGAGTGCCTTCTCTACTACATCAAGGACGGGATAACCAGGTGAGGGCTGGGTCTGCTGAGCTTATATGAGCAGTACAGCCGCAATGGGTAACATGTTTGTCTGTGGCAATCTCATGAGAGATGTTAGTCCTGCTAGATGGTGCAAGTCCAGAGAGTACTTTTGAAGCCCAAAGTAGGATATTTTGGAGCTGATTTGAGGACAGATGCAGCTGGATTGAGCTGCCTTTTCCCCAATAGGGTTGGCCGGGAAGATGCAGAGAAGAGGCAGGACATTGTTCTCAGTGGGCACTTCATCAAGGAAGAGCACTGCCTTTTCCGCAGTGACACGAGGACCGGTGGTGAAGGTACTGATGTCCTGAGGGGCTCTGTGCCTCCGTCTGCCTGGGTTCATTCTGGGGTCCTGCCCTGGCTTGGGGCTTGATGTGAGGTTGGCCAAGCCATTGCTCATGGTGGGGATATGCCTGGAGGCCCAGGCTGCCCCTCCACCTGCCGCTTGTCACGCAGTGATTGTGACCCTGGAGCCTTGTGAAGGCGCTGACACCTACGTGAATGGCAAAAAGGTGACAGAGCCCAGCGTCCTGCGCTCAGGTGGGTCCCCAGGGGACGCTTCTGCCCACAGTTCCATGCACTGCGGCCATCCCTGCCACTTCACTCAAGCTCTCTGTCCCCGCCACAGGAAACCGGATCATCATGGGGAAGAGCCACGTGTTTCGCTTCAACCACCCTGAGCAGGCCCGGCAGGAGCGGGAGCGGACGCCCTGTGCTGAGACACCTGCTGAGCCCGTGGACTGGGCCTTCGCCCAGAGAGAGCTGCTGGAGAAGCAGGGCATCGACATGAAGCAGGAGATGGAGCAGAGGTGGGCACGTGGGGCTGTGAGGAGGGTGAGGGCAGGAGTCCAGCTTGGTCATCTCCATCTTCCCTGCTCCTTCCAGGCTTCAGGAGCTGGAGGACCAGTACCGGAGGGAGAGGGAGGAGGCAAATTACCTTCTGGAGCAGCAGCGGCTGGTAGGTGGCCAGGCTTTTTAGGCTGTCCCAGCACCACCATGCCTGGCAGCTGTTTGCATGAGGCAGCTTTGTGCATCTTGGAACGGTGACAAATCCGTCATCCCATCATTATTCCTGGGACTGCTTACCAATATGGACGTGGAGTGGGGAGAGAAGGGTGATGAAGATTGTATCCTGTGGATTGCATCGTTCTTCTCCCTGCTTCCCTTAGGACTACGAGAGCAAACTGGAGGCTCTGCAGAAGCAGATGGACTCTAGATATTACCCTGAAGCCAATGAGGAAGAAGAAGAACCTGAAGATGAAGGTGAGTGCTGAGTGACAAAGGAGAGATGGAAAAGTTTGGGTGGAAGGAGAGGATGAGCTGATGTTTCTGCAGATAGGTCTGGGAGGGGAGCTGGTGTGCTCCGAGCAGCCTCAACTTCACCTCCCTCCTCTCAGCCATTAGAGGAGATATTAATAAAAAACATCCAGAGAATTGGTAGGAGGAAGGATTTTAGAGTGAAAACCAAAAAACTCCATTGCGACATCTGGCTGCAGAGCCTCGGGGAGCCAGTATGAAGACACTGGGAGCAATTCTGCAATGAGTTTGCCCACTGCTGCTCTCCATGCCCTTCCACTCCTCCTTTTCTTCATGGCAAAGAAGGTGTCGCAGTGGGGCCTGGATGCCTTCCATGGGAAGAAAAGCAGTGCACCCAGACACCTCATTCTGCATCCTTCGCCCAGCCTCAGCACCAGGGTGTGTGTGGTGAGCATCCTTGTGTGTCCTTCCCACAGTGCAGTGGACAGAGCGAGAGTTCGAGCTCGCCCTCTGGGCCTTCAGGAAGTGGAAGTGGTACCAATTCACCTCCCTCCGTGACCTGCTCTGGGGCAATGCCATCTTCCTCAAGGAAGCCAACGCCATCAGTGTGGAGCTGAAGAAAAAGGTGGGTGCTGATTGCGAGTGGTGGGTCTCACCATCATGGTGTTGCTGGGTGCTTATTGCTTGGGTTTTTAGGGGACGTGATGTTGCTGCTTGCTGCCACAGCAAGGGAGCACAGACCTGTGTGCTGGCAGGGAGCTATGGGAAAAGAGCTCTAAGCAAGCGGCTCCAGCACATCCCTGTCATGCATCTGTGCATGTACCCACACAGCGATGTGGTGATGTCGAGAGCCCAGGCTGATGGCATTGTGGTCTTCGTGGCTGGATCACCATTCTTCTCTGCCTCCTTCCAGGTGCAGTTTCAGTTCGTCCTCCTGACAGATACGCTGTATTCACCTCTCCCTCCTGACCTGCTGCCTCCCGACGCCGCCAAGGACCGGGAGAAGCGGCCATTTCCCCGCACCATCGTGGCTGTGGAGGTGCAGGACCAGAAGAACGGGGCAACGCATTACTGGACCCTGGAGAAGCTCAGGTAGGAAGGGACGTCTGCACTGGGCAGGCTTGGCAAGAGGGCTCTGCTAGCCCCAGCCTGGTTTCTCACCACTGCCCCTCGTGTGCCCACATCTGCAGGCAGCGCCTGGACTTGATGCGCGAAATGTACGACCGTGCAGCAGAAGTGCCTTCGAGCGTCATTGAGGACTGCGACAACGTGGTGACCGGCGGAGATCCCTTCTATGACCGCTTCCCGTGGTTCAGGCTGGTTGGCAGGTGAGCGCTTTGGCTCCTTCGATGTGCAGCCTGGAGGCACGGCGTCCCCCCAGGGCAGAGCTGCTGCCAGGCAGAGCGGCCTATCACTGCCATGGCCCACACCACAGCCGGTCCCCTCCGGCCTCCTGTGGAGCAGTGCCACCAGGCAGGGGCTGTCAGCTGCCAGTGGAGCGCCGGTGCCGCCGTGCCCACCGCCTATGTGTGTGTGTGCACATCTGTAGGCGTCCGTGTCCAAGCGTCTGTCTGTGCCACCCGTGCCGTGCGTCTCCATGTGCTTCCTGCACGGTGCCGGCAGTGAGGACGGGTGGCCCAACAAGGACACATGGATGTGTGTGCCTTGGAGGCCTCACCTCGTGCCACAGCAGCACCGGCAGTGGGATTTCCCCGTGGTGGGGTGGTGGGATGTCCCCCAGCCTTGTGTTGTGTGTTCCGTCCCGCTGTGCTGTGCTGCCTGCAAAGCCAGCGCCGGGAATTCTCATGTTTGCACCAGTTTGTTGGGTCTCTCTTTTTTTCCCACATTTTCTAGCCGACAGCCATTGGTGGCTCCCTTTAGAGACGCACCGGATGGGCAAGTCTCTATTTCCTGACATCCCTTGGTTTGAGCAGAAAACAAACCAAGCCAAAAAAAAAAAAAAAAAAAAAAAAAAAAAAAAAACCAATAATTTGCAAAAAGCTCTATTCTTGCTCTCTCTGTTTGGAACAGCTGGTGTTAACCTGTCTTCTATCTTGTTGTACTAACCTTAGTTCAGATATCTCTGGCTGCAACAGCTCTCCTCTTTTCAACACATGCATGAGCGAGCGCATGGCTGATCTCACCCCCTCCCCTACCTTCTCGAACCCCGACTCCGACATCACCGAGCCTGCTGACGAGCAGCACGAGGGGCAGGAGGAGGAGGAGGAGGAGGAGGCGGAGGACCTGGAGGAAGACATCTTTCCGGAGTGCCCGCTGTGTGATGGCCGGGATCCGTTTTACGACCGCTCCCCCCTGTTCAGTTTAGTAGGAAGGTTGGTGAGGTTTTAGGAGAGCATGCTGGGAAGGAACTAGCTCTTTCGCATGAGGGAACTGCTTTCTGGCACGACCCCCACCTCCAGGGCGTCCCGTGGGCGCAGGGGTGGCCGTCGGGTCGGGGCCACCGAGGTAGGGCTGTGACAAACACAGCAGCAAGGGCACAGGGCGAGCGCGAGAGCCCAGCTTTGGGCAGCCCCCAAAAACATGAGATCTCCCTGAGTGCCGCAGGACCTGCACTCGGGTTTCCATTCCCAGGGGGCCCAGCTGTCCGTCATAGCGAGGACCACAGTGTGACACCACGAGTGTGAGGCTCTGTGCTTTTGTCCTGGTGGTGCTTCGGCCACAACTTTTGCAGCTGTCCCAGTGCAGCAGGGAAAAATGAGGCTGTGCCGGTCGCTGTGAACCCTGGCACCATCTGGTGGGACTCCAGGGGGAGCCATGTGAGTGAGATGAGCTTGGGATCAGCGGGGGGAGGAGAACTCTTTGGGAAGTGGAGTTTTCTCTGTCTGTGCCCCATGCACTGCTTGGGACCATCTCCACGGGCTGGTAGCTACAAGCACAGGGCATGCTCAGGAAGGGCACATAGGGACCCAAGCTGCAGGAATAGGAAGGGAAAAGAACCTTAATTTCTCCTCCCTGTATGCCAGGACAGTCCTGGGCTTGGTCACTCCTGACTTGGAGAAATCGGGTTGGGTTTCTGGGCTCCAACTGTGCCTTCAAACTGTCGCAATCCGCCCATCCCCAAAACGCCCTCGTGACACAGGCAGGATGATGCTGGCCCCCTGGCTTCACTGCAGAAGGCTTCCCAAGGGGACAAGGGATGTGTGCTCAGAGCAGGACTCGGAGCCCCCATTCCTGGGACCATGGGGGTCCACCCAAGGCAGAGCCCCCCACCGTGCTGGGGCTGCTTCTCCCTTACCGAGTCCAAGTCTGGGGTGCGAGCAGGAGATGGAGCGGCACAGGCAGAGAGGGAGGAGGTGGGGTAAGAGCCCTGCAGCCTCAGACCGAAAGAGCTGGGTTCTTCCACCCTTTTTTTTTTTCTTTTTTCCATAAACCAAAACCAAAACTCTTGGGGGCACCTCAAAACCAAACCCACCGACCTGCCAAGCAAACCTCTGCAGTCCCCCAGGTCATTCCCTCGGGCTCTCCCGACTTCTTTTGAGTCTGCCCCAGGTTTGGCTCCCCACGCAGCAGCTGTGCCGGCCACATTTCTTGTGAAGTGTGCTTTGATTGGTTTATGATTGGATCCTTGTCTTTGATTTCTTTCTTTCTTTCTTTTCAGTTTTTTGTTTTGGTTTTTTTTTTTTAAGTTGTTTTGGTTTGGTTTGGTTTTTGTTTTTTAGCTGCTGGCTCTCTCTCTCCAAAGCTTTAGCAAAAATTGGGGTTATTTCACTTTTGTCTTCCTTTGGAAAGGCTTTTCTTTGGTCTGAGCATGCCATCTTTGCACCTCACCAATCTTGTGGTTAGTGTCCCTGCCCTCCTTCCTCTAGTGACACACTTGTCCCCCTCCTCCCCATCCTCTTGTCCTTCCCTTCCCATCTTCCCCCCCCCTCCTCCATCCCCCGGATTCATCCTGATGGGCTGCCCACTGATTTTGGGGCAGGAGAATTGCTCATGGGCAGGCAGTCCCAAATCCATGCCTACCTGAGCCCTGGTGGCCAACAAGAAGAGCTGGGGAGAGATGCTCGGTGGGGGATTGCACTCTGTGACTCAACCCCTCTTGGAGTTGTTTTGGGTGGAAAAAGCCTCGGACTTTTGGGTGGAAGAAGCCTTGGCTTGAGGTTGGCCCGAGCTGCAGCAGCAGCAGGGAGAACCTCTGCACCTCTGCAAGGCTGAATCTTTGAACACAGGGCTGTGGCCTTTTCTGCAAGAGCCTTTCAGATGCCATTCGGATGCCTGTGAGGTTAGGAAACCAGCCACCTGGAGACATCTGCATTTGCCTTGGGGAGCCTCCTGAAGCTGATGTGTCCTGACTGTTGCCTTCAGGATCCCTACCCACAGGACACAAGGACATCACATTTCGAGACACATGGGAAAGTGGAAACAAGCCATCCCTGCTGAGGACATAAGTGCTAGAAGGACCTCTAAATGGTGGAAGGACCTCTATGGTGTGCTGGTCAGAAAGGACCAACATTTGTCACCAGCTCCCAGCTAGGGAGAGAGAGGCTGAGCCGGCCAGCTGTGAACTCAAGGAAGGCAGCAAGCGGAAGCCAAATGACTGAGGAATGCCACGTGCCTGTGCCCAGCCCGGATACCTGAGAAGGTCCCGGGGAGCTCAGCAGTCACACCGGAACCCCGCGGTGGCACCAGGCGGGACACGGCGTGGGGACACGTGCATGCCACCAGCCACACCTCACAGCATCCCCAGCCACCTCCAGCCACCGCCGCCCAGAGCAGGTTCACCTGCAGAGGCTCTGATGCCCAGGCCAGGACCTTCTCCTCCCCCCATCCTTTGTTCCCGCCAGCCTCTTCCTCCCTCCTTCCCTCCCTCCCTTCCCATCCTGTCCTCGCCTCGCCCGCCCCCCGTTGCCTCCGCAGCACCCCCAGCTCTCTCACGGCACCTCCTGCCCCCATCCTCCGGCTCGTCACCGCCAAGACAGTCCTCTGCCCAGCTTGCCCCCTCCCCAGGATGCGACGGCCGGAGAGACGCCGGCTCGCCCGCTCCCCGCCCCGCGCTGGCCCTGGCTGCCCCTCATGGCTTTGCTTTGCAGCGGTGACATGGGACATGGGACCTGGCCGCCGGCGGCCGCCACCCGCGCTCTGGGATGCTCGGGCAGAGGCGGTGACGGCGCTCCCGTGTTGCTTCTCTCCCCGGCAGGGCCTTCGTCTACCTCAGCAACCTGCTGTACCCCGTGCCCCTGGTGCACCGCGTGGCCATCGTCAGCGAGAAGGGCGAGGTGAAGGGCTTTCTGCGCGTGGCCGTCCAAGCCATCTCAGGTAGGGACTGGCCCTGGTGCTGCTTCGGCCTGCGTGTCCCCTAGCATCCCACCAACACCTCGCTGCTTTCCTCCTGCAGCCGACGAGGAAGCCCCAGACTACGGTTCTGGCGTGCGGCAGTCGGGGACAGCGAAGATCTCCTTTGACGATCAGCACTTCGAGAAGGTATGACCTCAGCGGGGACTGGGATGGGGTTGGCTGCAGAGACCACGGCGTCTCACCCTGTAGGATGGTGCCCAGCTGCTCTGCCTTGGGTACCACCTGGGCCGGGCACAGCCCCTCGAGGAGCTGTGTCTCTGGGCTGGGGCTGCCCTCCTTTTGGTGCTGCAGTGGTGGCAGCTCCCTCAGCCCCATTCCTCCATCGCCCTCCAGTTCCAGTCCGAGTCCTGCCCTGCTGTAGGCATGTCTCGCTCGGGGACCTCCCAGGAGGAGCTGCGCATCGTTGAGGGCCAGGGGCAGATGAGTGACTTGGGGCCCTCCGCCGATGAAGTCAACAACAACACCTGTGCCGGTGAGCAGCACCCAGCAGGGCGTCTGAGCACAGAAAGCCCACGTCCCCAGCAGCAGCTCAGCATCAGCACAATTCCTCCTGCTGAGGGCTCTCCTTTCCCTGCAGTGACCCCAGAGGACCTTCTCCTGGACAGCCCGGAGAAGTCCACGATGGATGGGCCTCTGGAGGCAGCTCTGGACCACCTGAAGCTGGGCAGCATCTTCACGTTTCGAGTGACCGTCCTGCAAGCCTCCAGCATCTCAGCAGAATATGCGGATATCTTTTGCCAGTTCAAGTAAGATCATGGTGACCCCCCCAGGCTGTCGTGTCCCTCTATGCTCTGGCCTTCACCTCCCTTGGTTGCCCCAAAGCAGGGATAGTGTTGCAAGCTTCATCCCACATTCTGCTTCCATTCCATCCAAGTCTTTCATGGAAGCAAAACCAAAAGATGTGGGATGAGCCTCTGTCTCTGCCTGGACACATATTTGGTCACTGGAAAAAGCAAGGGAGTGTTTCACAGGCACTGAGGGCTGCAGATCAGGGTGGCGTGTCTTTCTATGCCAGCCCTGCCCAGGTGGCAGCGCAGGCTAAGTTCCTGTCCTCTCTCCCACTCCTGCTCCTCTGTGCTGCCCTGCAGTCCCCACATGACTTCCCTTCCCTTTGCAGCTTCATCCATCGCCACGATGAGGCCTTTTCAACGGAGCCCTTGAAGAACACAGGGCGAGGGCCACCACTGGGTTTCTACCATGTCCAAAATGTGAGCACCTTCCCCTCTGGCACCCCCCTCACCCGCACAGCTGCCAGTGCCCATCCCTAGAGCAGCACCTTCCTTCTGCCTGCTTTCTCAGCACATCACATTCCTTTCCAAACAAGACAGTGTGCTCAAGTGCTCTTTCTCTTTCTCAGATTGCTGTGGAGGTGACCAAGTCCTTCATCGAATACATCAAGAGCCAGCCGATTGTATTTGAGGTGTTTGGGCACTACCAACAACACCCCTTCCCACCCCTCTGCAAGGACGTCCTTAGGTAGGTGTGTGTGGATCACGTGTGGCTTATTGTGCCTTCCCCTGGTGCCACAAGGCCAGGCTGGAACAGCACTCCTGGCTCCAAGGGTACATGGCGGTGGGTGGCCCCAGGTTGGGACCAGTTTCTGCCACGGTGGCTTTTATCTACACCTGTTTTCTCTGCAGCCCGCTGAGGCCATCCCGGCGCCACTTCCCACGGGTGATGCCACTTTCCAAGCCAGGTAGGGGATGATGTCCTGCTCCTCTCCCACGGTCCCCAGGTCGCAGAGCACATTCCCCACTATGCCCCGCTCCCAGTGCCCTGTGCCACATGCCTGCAAGAGCAGGGCTGGATGGCAGAATCTCAGAGACATCACCAAATGTGTCGTGCTCCAGAGCACCCGGAGGCCCTTTGGCACCTGCTCACTCCGTGTTTGGCTGACGCAAACCCCTTTGCAAGCATCTTTTCCCCCTGCTCTCATGGCAGCCCCGCAGCATCCCTCCCTTGTGCCAAAGTGTCTGTGCGTAACCGCTTTGCTTTGTGTTGCCCTTTCTGTTTGTTTCCCTCCCTCCTCACAAGAGCACTCCAGCCCCCACCGGCTCACCCACTGCTCAGTGCCAGCCGTGCTGGCAGGCTCACTCCTGGACATGCTCTCTGGGCACGCTCTGGCGGCCGCCACCGCCGCCACTTCCCTCCTGCGGCGTGGCATGGAGGAGCCCGTCTGCCCACCGCCCCTGCCTGCCGCGGACCGCGCCATCAGGAAGGCGCAGAAGCCGGGTTGGTGCCCGCATGAGCCTGCAGCAGGGTCAGCAGCTGTCCCTTGGGGGGCCAAAGATAGCAGTGGGGATGGCATGGTGCTCCCGAGGTCACCTCCCCGGGGCTACATGAGTCCCTGCTGCTTTCGTCTGCTGAGACCCGAGTTGCTGTGGTTTTTGCTGAGTGCGGTGGTTTGCCGTGATGCCTGCCCACCTCCTGCTCCAGCACCAGGGGTCCCATGTCAGCCAGCAATCCGGCTGTCCCTGAGCTGCTCCACTGGTGCTGGAGCTGTGCTGTGTGGTTTGGGACCCGTTCCTGTCCCTTCTGGGTTTGGTCAGGTGTTCCAGGAAAAGCCCCATCTTGAACCCTCACTTCTCTGCTTTGGGAATGGGAGGAAGTGCCCATGAGGTGCTCAGGATGGGGCTGCATCCCTCTGGTAGTGCTGCGTGCTGCCTCCTGCCATATTGCCACCTGCCTAGTTGCCCTGCTTGTCCCCAAGCCCTGCCTGCTCTTTGTCCCCCTGCTTGCTCCCGTGTGCCCCCAACCTCAGCAGCAAACTCCCCCTTTCTGCCTCCGAGTTAAGTTGTGCTTCCCACCCCCTACAGTGCCCGCCACCAAGCTAAGCACCATGACTCGTCCCAGTGCTGGGCCCTGCCAGTGCAAGTACGACCTGATGGTCTTCTTCGAGATCTGCGAGCTGGAGGCCAATGGCGAGTAAGTCCTGGTTGGAGGAGAGAGGGAGGCAGCGTGGTGATTTGCACCTCTGGGGAAGCACGGTGGGTTTGGGCACATGAGCAGAGCTGTGTCCCAACACCGTCTTCTCTTCCAGCTACATCCCGGCTGTGGTGGATCACCGTGGAGGCATGCCGTGCCACGGGACCTTCCTCCTCCACCAGGTACTCCCTGCTCAGCACCCAACCCCCTGCTCCTGCCCCGCTGCCCAGGAGCTGTTAATCACCACCCTATCCTCTCTGCCCTTGGCGTTTTCAGGGCATCCAAAGGAGAATCACTGTCACCTTGGTGCATGAAACAGGCAGCCTGATCCGCTGGAAGGAAGTGCGGGAGCTGGTTGTGGGTAAGCAAAGCCAGACGAGGTTGCAAGGAGCTCCCCCAAATCTCCTCCACATCTCTAGAGGCTTCTGTGCTTTTTTTTCCCATCCCATTCAGTTTTCACTTACTATCATGCTTGCAATAGTACAGAGATGACTGCCCCGTTGGTGCCACCACAGTGCCAGCAGGACATGGGGGTGCACACCATACACATGGACCCTGGCAGGAGACCTGAGTGGGTTCCTGTGCTTTGTTTGCAGGTCGGATCCGGAACACCCCAGAAGCTGATGAGTCTCTTATTGACCCCAACATCCTGTCCCTGAACATCCTGTCCTCGGGCTACATCCACCCCTCACAGGACGACCGGTGCGTGCCAATGCTTCTCTTGCATTGCAGTGCTGGGGGAGACAGGGAGCTGGTCCTGTTCAGTGGCAGTGACAGGACATTGTGCTCTACTTGTCACCAGCTCAGTCCCGTGTTGTAGCTAACTGGCTGGAAATGCCGCTTCATGCTCATGGCTGATCCCCATGCGTCCAGGGCCATGGGGGACACGAGGTCCCTCACACCTGTCCTGGGGCTGTTCCTGCTCTGCGGCTGTGATGTGGCCGCACCGAGTGGTTGGAGCGTGTGAGTGTGGGGCACTGTGACAGTGGGGACAAGAGTGTGACCGTTTGTTGGTGGCACAGGGAAGGAGTGATGGGGCTGATGCTGAGCTTTGAGTGGCATAGGAGCACACTGGATGGCAGTGGGACCGTCTTTCCCTTTGCTTTTCTTTTTCTCCTCCCCACTGTGGCTTGTCCCCAGGCTGGTGTGTCAGTGACAGCCCTGCCTGTGAGGTGCCAGCCTGCAGTGCTGCTGGAGCAGCTCCTTGCCACTCTGCATCCCACTGCCAGCAGGCAGGGAGCGCCTGGGCACGGACTGTGCGTGCAGGTGTCAGACATTGTCATACCCACTGGGACAGCAGTGAGGCCAGGCAGAAGGCTGATGGAATCAGTGGTGAGGAGGGTTCAGACTTACAGAGCTGTGGTGGTTCGTGCCGGATGGCTGAGGCTTATGGGAGCCACGTGGATGTTATACCCAGGCACACAGGCTTGTGGGACCGTGTTGATGTGCATCAGCAGCTGCTCTGGTCCAGGCTGCGGCCAGATCTGATCTCAGCAGCCCCAGCGTAGCCTGACGGAGAGGAACACGGCTCCCACTTTCCCCGTGCACTGGGGCCATGGGGTACCAACCACCCCCTGGGATGCCATGGCAGGAGCAGCAGGTGCTGGATGACACACTGGGGGGACAGAGATTGCTGGCTCCCAGCAGGACAACAAGGGGCCGCTGCAGCAACCCCACGCTTCCATCCTGCCATGTCCCGCATGCTTCGACCCCAGCCGCCTGCCGGGACAGGAGGCCAAGGATGGCAGCAGGCAGAGCGGTGTCTGCCCTCGCCCTCCTCCCAGGCTGCTTCCGCTCCCTGCTTTGCTATCGTCCGCCCCGCCGCCTCCATCGCCGACAGCAGCCCTGGCTCTGCCCTCCTCCCGTATCCTTTTGGACCTTCCATGGCAGCCGCCGGGACCCTGCTGCCCTCAGGCAGCCCTGGGGTGCAGTGCCCAAGGCCTTTCCTTGCTTCCCTCCCAAACCGCTGCTGCCGCTGCCCATCTGAGCCCACACTAACCATGTGATTGTTTTGTGTTTTCGCAGGCAGTTTCTTGATTCGGATATGCCTAGGTATTATTTGTTTCCATTGTTTTTTTTTTCCACCCCCTCCACTCTCTCCTCTCTCTCCCCGCATCTCAGCACTCTCAGTCCCGCTGCCGGCGGCACTTGGGTTTCCAGCCCCCTCTCCACATCCCCCTCCCCTCCCCGCATCCTGGGCACCTCTCTCTCACGCCGCACTTCCCTGCGGGTTTTGCTGTTTGTTTGGATCGTGCTCTCGCTCCTCCTCACTCTTGCTGGCCTGCGCTCTCATCGCCCCGTTTTTGTTTGCTTTTCGACTTTTCACACTGCTGCTCTCCCAGCTATCCGGCATCCAGCTCTGGACATGCGGTCCCGGCCCCCTGCCCCTGCCCCAGCCCTGTGTGGGGAAGGCACGGCATGGCAGGCTGTGTGGGGACGTGTGCTGGGTGTATGCACACCCTGCAGCCATGCGCAGCCCTCCTTCAGGTGTAGGTGTGATGTATACATGGCAAAGGTGGATGCAGCAGGGATGGGGTCTGCCAAGACCCAGTGGGGGCTCTGGATTCCCTGCAGCAGCTGGAGACTGATCCTGCTCAGGACAACCGAGGACATCTGTCTGTCTGTCTGTCTGGCAGCCATCCCGCACCAGTGGGGCACTTGGGGATCTCTTCATTGCCTTAATGCAGGCAACTTTCAGGCCCTAGGAGTGCAGAAACTGCTCTGAAATTGTTGGAGGGGTCCTGCAGTGAGGGTAGAGTTAAGGGAGGAAGGTGTGGGGCTGCAGAGAGCTTGCTGCAACATCCATAAAGCGATAAACCTTGGGATGCTCTCCCTGAGCAATCTTTCGCCCCTGATTTGGGGGCCAGGGGAATGTGAGCAGTGATGCAGAGCTTAGTGGCACAGAAGCAGCCACTGCAGAGCGAGGAACGGCCACCGTGCCTGCTGAGGAATTCTGTCTGGGCACAGCTCCATCCGCAGTGTGGGTGCTGAGATGGGCTCTGAGAGTTGTTGGGCTCCACTGGGCCCCCAGAGCAGCCCCAGGGCAGACCCTTGTGCCATCCTGCTCCTCCTGGCACCCCGGTTGGCTCCATCCTGGGCAGTGGTTGCCGCAAGGCATGCGATGGCCCCGTCCAGACGATGCTTTCTGACGTTTCGTTTTTCTGTGTGTGTACGTGTGTGTGTTTGTCCTGGGTTGCCTTCCACTTATAGCATTTCATTCGGAAATGACACTAGGTATTTTGCGTGCACATGCTCGGAATGGTCCCTCCCGCTTCTCTCTCTTTCTCCTTTGCCTTGTTCCTTCGCTTTTTGCTCTTCTTCCCCCTCTCCCTAACTCTCCTCTTCTCTTATATCCTCCCTTGGGAGCTCTCTCTTCTCAAGAGCCCTTTGTGTGAAAAGTGATCCTTTGCTTTGACTCTGTCTCACGTGGTTTTAATAGGCAACACCTCTGAGAGAGTGACTCGCTGCTCTCCAGCATGGTGCCCCAGGCAGGGGCAATGGCCATGCACCCATGGGTGCAGCCAAAGCCCCCTTTGCTGGGAGCCTGCCCCGCTCTTGGCCCCAATGCAGCTCAGTTCTGACTGCCTGCACATGGCCACGGCCAAGCTGTGGCTGCCTGGGGGTGCTCACAAAGGGACCAGGGTGGCCTTGGGTGCGTTGTGAGTGTGGGTGCCCTGGCAGTGGGGAGGTAATGCTGGGGTCCCCCACGTTCTCGACCCAGAGCTGCCTCCTGCTTCCCCCTTCTCATTACTGTACTGTCCAGACCCCAAAATGCAACCACTGCTCTGCTATGCGCCGTCCTTTATGGGGTCCCACCAGAGCTCACACCCCAGCTCCTGCCCAGACTCACCAGTGCACAGTGCGGAAATGGAAAGCACAGAATGAGGCAGCGGGCAGGAACAGAGGGCAGTGGCCAAGGGACAGGGGAGACTGTCCCATAGGCTCCAAATCCTGGGCCCTACCTCCTGGTGGGGACTTTGCTGGTGGGGTCTGTCCCTCCATGCTGAGCATCCTCTCTCCTTCCTACTCTGGCTGTCATCACCCGAATGGTGACAGCTGCTCCCAGAGTGCTGATGGGTGACAGGGTGCTGGCCTGGGTGTGCTGGAGGTGGCAGCTTGCCTTGAGCTCTGGGGACATGCTCCCTCCTCTGTCCTTTTGTCCCCCGTTCCCTGCCTTGCCTTGCACTCAGCTGAGCCTCCCGTGCTCCCAAACCCCTGCGCACAGTTCAAGGGCACCCGTCTCCCTCCCGCTGCACCCATTCTGCCTCGGCTTTGCCTTGAGCCTGCATCCCCCAGAGTGGCTGGCCCCAAATGTCCCATGCATGCCCATGTATCCCTGCAGGCCTGCTGCAGTGCTGCAGAGGGAGGGAGGAAGGGAGGTGTCTCCCCGCTGTCTGGCTGGCATTTCAGGGAGATTGTTTCACTGGCTCTGCTCTGTCTTGGCAGGACTTTTTACCAGTTTGAAACAGCGTGGGACAGCTCCATGCACAATTCACTGCTGCTCAACCGTGTCACCCCATACCGGGAGAAAATCTACATCACCCTCTCCGCCTACATCGAGGCAAGGACCCATCTCTGTGCCATTATAACACAAAGGGGAGTTCCCTCACCAATGTGGTTTTCCCGGTGGAGTGCAGCCCTCAGAGGTGTTCCTCTGGCAGCTCCCCACTTGCAAGCACAGCCCGGGAGGACGCTGGGATGCTGCCTTTGCCCATTAATGGGGAAAGGCAGGGGCTCTTCCAGCCCTTCCTGCCTTCTGTGGGCTGCACAGCACAGGGGTGCTGCCTGTATAGCTCATGCACCCCCTTGACACAATCCCTCTGCTCTCCTCTCTTCCCACCCTGCTGCAGATGGAGAACTGCACCCAGCCTGCCGTCATCACCAAAGATTTCTGCATGGTTTTCTATTCCCGAGATGCCAAGCTCCCTGCCTCCCGCTCCATCCGCAACCTCTTTGGCAGCGGCAGCCTGCGGGCTTCAGAGAGGTACCAGCTGGTTTTAGGAGGGAGGACAGGGGACAAGCAATGCTTCCAGCACCCAGTGCTGCCCTGGAATGTGGGGTAAAACCTCAGAGTCTGGGAACAGAATCAAGTGACTTACTTTGCTTACAGCAACCGTGTGACGGGTGTCTATGAGCTGAGCCTGTGCCGCGTGGCGGATGCTGGCAGTCCAGGTGGGTGCCCTGCACGTTCACTGTAGGGCTGTGGTGTGAGTGATTCTATGAGTGCCTGAGCCGTGCTCCTATCCTTTGAGCCATGTGTCTGTCCCCTGAGCCATGTGTTTGTCTCCAAAGGCATGCAGAGGCGGCGCCGGCGCGTATTGGACACCTCTGTAGCCTATGTGCGGGGAGAAGAGAACCTGGCTGGCTGGCGGCCCCGCAGCGACAGCCTCATCCTCGACCATCAGTGGGAGCTGGAGAAGCTCAGTCTCTTGCAAGAAGTAAGATGTTGGGTTGGGAAGAGCTTCTCGGGGCTGAAATTCCACACTTTGCAACAGAGGGTGCCAAAACACACCCAGGATTCTCAGCCCTCCTGGCTTTGTGCCGTGGGGCTCTGTTCCTGCTACACTGATGCTAGCCAGGTGCCTGCAGACTCAAAGCTAATAAGCAGCTGGGTTATTGGGGGTGGGAGGCCCCCCAAAATGCTTCCAAGCTGGGCAAGGGGGAAGCCTGGCGCTGAGCAGGGGTGCCCTCACCCAGGTGGAGAAAACCAGGCACTACCTGCTGCTGCGTGAGAAGCTGGAGACAACCCAGCGGCTGGGCCTGGAGACCCTGTCCCCGTGCTCCAGCGAGGACTCCGAGTCCCGAAGCACCTCCTGCGTCTCCTCCCCACTCTCGGCTGATGGGGCCCCAGAAGGACGGACCTCTCCTCCCGAAACCCCCAGTGAGAGGCAGAAGGAGCTGGCCGTGAAGGTACACCATCCTGGAGCCAGAAGAGGTTCCCAGAGGGGGGCGGGCATGGTGGTAGCGACGCGGTGGGAAAGGCGATGGGGGTGGAAGAAGGAACTTCCTACACCCTCATCCTCATCTGCCCGCAGTGCCTGCGCCTGCTCACGCACACCTTCAACCGCGAGTACAGCCACAGCCATGTCTGCATCAGCGCCAGCGAGAGCAAGGTACCGGGGCGGTGACAGAAACCTGGGGTCTGCAGGGCTGGTGATGGCTGGGAGGGATGCGTGGGGATTGGGGCTCACAGGGCAGGGGTGGGTCTGTGGGTGGCCCTGCTGCCACCCTCTGCTCGCCTGACTGCTCTCAGAGCACCCATATGCACGTTCCTCTCCCTGCCCCGGCCAGAGCTGTGCCCGGCTTCGGGCAGAGACTCCAGTCCACACCTCCGCTCCTCCACAGCTGTCTGAAATGTCTGTGACCCTGATGAGAGACCCGTCCATGTCAGCTCTCGGGGTCACCACCCTCACCCCCTCCTCAACCTGCCCGTCGCTGGTGGAAGGACGCTACAACACCATGGAAGTCAGGTATGAAGATGGCTGGGAGGTTGGGTTGAGTCCCCAGTGTTCACCGAGCAGGATGGAGGTACTGCTCAGGCATGGTCCCACCTGATGGTTGCTCTTCATCCTCCTCCAACGCTATCCTTTCTCCTCCTCCTAGAACCCCACAGGTCTCCTCCAGGGTGGAGAGTCCTGACCTGGAGCCTGTGGTGGAAGGAGAGCAGAAGAAGTCCCCGTCCCGCCGGCCTGAGGATGAGAAGGAGCCTCAGCGGCAGCTGGTGCCTGACATTCAGGAGATCCGAGTCAGGTAGGAGCCACCAGAGAGGCCAGGAGGGAACTCCCTAAAGGGACGGAGGGGGCAACCAGTGGCTTGGGGGAGAAAGGTGACAGTGCTCTACTGCAGCCACCTCCTTGCAGCCCATGTCCCAGCCTGATCCAGCCTTCTCTGTCTTTCTCCAGCCCCATCGTCTCCAAAAAGGGCTACCTGCACTTCCTGGAGCCCCACACCAATGGGTGGGTGAAACGTTTTGTGGTGGTTAGGCGCCCATACGTCTACATCTACAACTCAGACAAGGACTCAGTGGAGAGGGCCATACTCAACCTCTCCAAAGCCCAAGTGGAGTACAGTGAGGACCAGCAGGCCATGCTGAAGGTGGGTGCCAGCCTCACACAGGGAGCCTCAACACCCTGGGGCAAGGTGCTGACCCCACGCTCTCCCTAGCAGACCCCCAACACGTTTGCGGTGTGCACGGAGCACCGGGGCATCCTGCTGCAGGCAAGCAGTGACAAGGACATGCACGACTGGCTCTATGCCTTCAACCCCCTCCTGGCCGGGTCCATAAGGTACGGAGTGGGTGACAGAAGGAGTGTGCTTTGGTGAATGGGCTGTAGGAAGAGGTGGGGAGATCACCAGCGGCTGAGCGCTGTCACTGGGCTGCAAGCTGCTGTTCTTCTTTGCCAGACATGGGGAGTGCCTGCTGAGCCAGGCTGGGATGGAAAGGACTCTAAGCTGATGGAGTTTGGGACATGTTAATAACGATTTCAGCTCCGCCACTTTATAGCTGTAAGGAGTTACTCCTCCCCACTTAACCAAGGGCCATGTTGTGGCTGGTACAGGGACCGAGCTCAAAGCAGCACCCATATGCAGCAACTGAGCCTTTGCTCTTCTTCAGAACATGTCAAGAAGTTCTTGAGATCCTCTCAAATTGCAGAAGGGGAATAGGAACCAGTGCACAGAGATTTGTGAGCCCTGGCAAATGAGCACTGTTAACCCCATGCCCCTCTGGTTCCAGCTGGATTCAAGAACCAGCCTGCACACAAGATACCACAGATCTCCATTTCCCCATCTCTGACTTCTTTTGTGTCTTGGTTTCCAATTCAGGTCCAAGCTGTCCAGAAGGAGAACAGCCCAGATGAGAATCTAACCTGAAAACCACCCTCCACCTCATCCGTCTGCCAACAGGATCAAGATAGCAGATTCTGTCTCAAGAGTCCCCATGTTAACATCCGATCTCTCACACCATCTGCTGCCCCAGCTGCCTGCTCCATGGAAGGATCCGTCTCGATCTACACCTTCATGGGGGAAACTCATTTCTGTTCGTAGCTGCAAACGCCCGGTCCCACCTGGGCAGGATCTCTCGTGTGCATGTGATCTTCTGCCCCTCCCCCCATGGGTGGCCTTCATGTCACACAACCTGTAACGCTCCTGAAAGGTTCCTTTCGGAGAGGAGGGAGCAAGGAGGGTAGATCCGGTTAAAAGCTGGTCTTTGATCTACAGAGGTAGCAGTGTCGTAAAGCTCAGAGATGAGAAATCAGGAGGAATTGCTTCCACGCGAAGGGAAAGTGGTAGTTTAGGTACAGGGATTTCCTAATTTATTGTTTCTACAAAAGATGGCAGGGCAAAATCAGGTGTCAGTAGTTTAAGATTATATTTATAAAGTATTTATTTCTATTTACATCACAAAAACCCATACACTGGGTCCCGCCCCCGAACAATGCCTCCCCTGAGCCGGGGAGAGGCTTGGCAGCGGGCTGGTGCCAAGGCCACCGCAGCCCCTCTCTCAGAGACACCTTTCTGGGAGAAGGGACCAAACACGGCGACTGCAGTGCGCTCGCCCTCTCTCCCCATCCTTCCCTCAACCTTCTGCTTTGCCCCCCAGCGCTTAAACTACTTTTCCCAGAAGCGGTGACCAGACCGGGCACCACGTCTTCCCAAGCGAGGCAATTCCTCCCTGCCCCATCTACCTCTGGTGGGGGACGCATGCTGTTTTAGGCAGCCAGGGCACCCACATGCACATGGACGAGCCAACCGCCCGAGCCCCGCGGGATGGTTGTGCCTCACTGAGAACAAGTGTATTTGGGCTCCTTCTTCTGTCCGGTGCCCGAAATGCAGCCTACGTTGGCTGTCCCCATGCTGCCCCCAGGGCCTCCTACCAGACAGCTGCGGAGGTCAGCATTGCCATGGCGGGGAGCATGGAGGCTGGGCAGGCTGTTCCCAAAGCTGGCTGATGAAGCTCCCCAGGAGCTGGGATTCGGAGCAGCCATCCCAGCCCCACAGCTCCTCTCCCCCAAAGGCTTTGCTGTCCCCTCCTGCAGGAAGAACAGGGCTGAGGCAGGTGATTGGGCAGTGCAGAGACCAGCGTCAGGGTGGGGATGGTGGGGAGCAGAGAGGCCGGGGCTTCTTACTTTCATAGCTGATGTTTTCGTACCCCTCACCCCCGTTCCAGAAGTGCAATCCCACCTTCCTCCCCTCGCCTCCATAGATTACTCAGTCTATGGCTGCAGCACAGCCGTGCTGGCGGGGCTCCCCACAGCCTCCTCCTCCCCAACAAACCCCACACCCATCGCTCACGTCCCTCCTCTCGTCTGTTCGTTGGTCGTTTTGCCGAGCGTGGGTGCTTCACTTCAGGGCTTCCCGAGGGTGGCCCATGCAGCTCCGGGCAGGAAGGCGGGCGCCTTCCCCCGCACATCCCCAGGCCCTGCTGGGCTTCGCTTCGCTGTCACGCATTCACAGCCAACCTTAATTTGCACAGCACGGCCACATCTCGGCCCCACCACCGCACGTCCCCGCGCTGTCCCCTGTGTTGTCGGTGCGGTGCTGGGCAGAGGCCGTCCCTCCACACCGTTTGCTCCTTTGTAAACCCGCGGGGACGCAGAGGACGGGGGTGGCCGGGCGCATCGCTCCTCGTTCGGCTGTTTCCCTCGTTGGTAGGATCCCAGTTTGGCCCAACTCCTGCCTGGGGGCGAGAGGCTCCTGCGGGCTGAGGCAGCTCCCGGCAGAGGCCTTCCGACAGGGCCGGGCCCGGTGTCTGCCAGCAACCAGACACCGCTCTGGCGGCCATGCAGGGCTGCGGGCCCGGCTCCGAGGCGTGCCTGAGGCCAGCCAACCTGCAGAGCACGCCGTGGGACCGGGCTCGAGGCCCGCAGCTCGAGGCCCGTTTCAGCCCCGCAGCCTCTCGACCCCACGCGGGACCGCAGCCGTTCCCGCCCCGTTCCCGTGCCCCCTCCTCCCCGTGTTGGAGCTTCGGGCCCCGGCCGCCTGCCCGCGCGCCAGGCTTGTTCGGTTCTGAAATAAATGTGGCATTGACGCAGCCGCCTCGAGCCGTGCTTTGCTGGGGGCGCGGGGAGCACCGGGCCAGTGGGGCGGTGGGGGCGGTGGGTTCCCTCGCGGCGCCGCCAGAGGGCGCTTCCTCATTCTTCCCCCCCCCCCCCCCCAAAAGCCGGGCACGCGGCTGGCGCCCTGCCGCCCCGTTGGCCAGAGGGGTATTGATTGGCAGCGCAGTTCCGCTTAGCGATTGGTGAATGCACCTACGCGTCACCGCCCCACGGCGGCGCGTCGACAAGCGCCGGAGCACTTCCGCCGCCACCACGCCGCTCTCTCGCCGGCTTCCGGCCTTCCCGCGGTCTCCCATTGGCCGTCACGCGGCGACGCCCCGCCCCGCGAGCCTGATTGGCAGGGGCGGGGCGCGGCGGCGGGGCGGGCGGCGTCGGGCCGGGCGCGGTGGATGGACCTGTTCGGGGACCTGCCCGAGCCCGGCGGCTCGGCCCAGGGTGAGGGGGTGGGGGGAGCCCGGCAGGGGGCTGCACGGCCGCTCCGGGCTGCGGGTGGCCGGCGGGGCCTTTTCTGGAGGCGGGAGGCCGGAGCGTTCGGCGGCGCGGCCTGGAGGCCGCCTCGTCGCGGGGCTGTGAGGGGTGGCTCTGGGGGTGCGGCCGCCGCCCCTCCGCGCCGGGGCCGCCGCTCGTGCCGAGCCTCTCCGGTGTCTTGCAGGGAAGGAGGCCCAGGGGCAGCTTCGGCTCTTCGACGACCTCCCTCCGGCCGGCAGCGCCGACACAGGTAAGGCCTCGCCGTGCCCCGCTTCGTTCCGCGTCGGCGCGCCTCCGGGCTGCAGAGACCTCCGAGCGGAGGTTGAAATGCGGCCGCCTTTGGTTGTGCAACTCGTGCCCGTTCTGAGGGGCGTGCAGAGCTTTGTTCCCCTGCAACGACGAAGGTGCTCGCTTTTTGCCTTTCTGTTGTGCTCCAGGAAAAGGAAGCTCTTTGCTCTTCGATGATCTCCCTCCGGCCGGCAGCAGCGATGCAGGTAAGCGGCTCTGTTGGCTCTGCTGGCCCGGCCTTTCCAGCCTCTTCAGAACCGATCTGTTGGTAGGCAGGGCTCTGCATGCAGCCGGATGGTTGCCAGCTCCAGGATGGTTGAGGCTGTATTCTATGGGAATGGGAAAAGGTTCTGATGCCACGGCAGCTGTTTTTAATTGACAGCTTTAGTTTGTGACCTGTGTTCTGAAGTCCATAATGAATACACTGTGCTTCTTCAGAGTAACAATGTATGCTTCTTCGCATTCATTAACAGATGTTAATGAAAACCAAGCAAGACTCTGGTCTGGAATGTTAACTGTCTGAACATTCAACTGCAATAAAGGCCAGGAGCTAGGAAATGGTTTGTGGCCTGGGAAGAATCAGATGCCCTCTAGCCGTACCTGGCTGTACTGTGGCTGAGGAAGGGCTGTATGATTCAAGGTGACCACATCTGTGCGTGCTAGGTTAGATAGTGATGTGAGCTACCTGTCACTTAATGCTGCGTGAGCATGAGAGTGCTTCAGTGCAGGAGGACTTACTGCGGAAGTCCTGCAAATAAAACCAAGCTGGGAGTCTTCAGCTGCCTGCTTTTATTCTCTTTCAGCCTCCAGCACTCCTGAGCAGGTCTCAGCAGGGAGCCATGCAAAAGGGGAGAAGAGGAAGTCCCTGGAGGAGGAAGAGAAGAATGGCAGGGAAGAACTTGTGGAAAAGAAAGTTTGTAAAGGTTTTCAGACAGTTTGAAAACAAATGTACTCAATTTATACTTTTGACATTTTGCTGAGGAAGTCCAGACTAAAGCTGAGCCTTGGTTCTTCAGTCTGCTGGCATTTGCAACCTCTTGTGGGGAGCAGACTGTGGTGGAAGGAGCCCCTCAAACTCTCTGGCCCTCTGCCTCCCTTACATGGGCCTCCTTACCAGTCTGCTGAAGTGGCAGGAGCTGGGCAGTGTGAGTGCCTTGGCATCTGCAGAGTAAGGGGTTGTGCTGCCAGCAGGGGAACTGGGTGTGAAGCCTCTGGAAGGCTTGACCTACACCAGTTTCTTTTGCCAGATCCACAAATCTCTCTTGAGTGGCTGCTGAGAAAGCCAGAGAGAGAGAGAGAGAGGCTTATTTGTGTTGACATGTAATACAGTTGACTTCAGTGCAAGTTCCCACGTGTTATGTTCAGCTTTGGGAAACCAGATGTGTTCAGAGAAAAGGAAGTTACATATTCTGGAAACAGCGGAGTTGGCTTTCCTGCTCTCACCCATTCTTCAAAGCTACACTTTGTGTAATCTTCTGTTTCAGTTGTGCCATTCGTTCTCACCTCACCATCTGATAAGGGCCCTCTCTGATGCCCAGCAGTACTGCTTGTGTACAGCTGTCCCCCAAAACAGTGCAGGCTGCTTTTGTAGCTGCTGACCTCGTGTTACAAAACACACTGCGCTCAGCAGAAGGTGCCAGATAGGCTGTTGCAAAGCATGGGCCATAACTTTGCTGTGTGTTTGTCAAAGCTGAAAAGTGACCATCGATGTGAGCTGAGGCAGCGAGGGAGTTTGACTGGCTGTGTGTCTGTTTGTCTCCTTTAGGGTCAGTGGGCATTCTTGGATTGAAGGGCTACGTGGCAGAGAGGAAAGGTGAAAGAGAAGACATGCAGGATGCACACGTCATCTTGAATGATATCACTGAGGAGTGCCAGCCTCTGCCCTCCCAAGTGTAAGTGAGCCCTGACTGCCAAAGCCAGGGGATAAAGCTGTGGATGGCAGCCAGGTGTGGAGGTGAAGAAGCTCCAGCTTGCCTCACCAAAGCCTGTGGTGTGTGGTGGTTTTTGCTTTAAGCAGCTGCTGCTCTTGCTTACAGGCTGCTTTGTGATGTGTGTTTAGGGCTTGTAATTGGGAAATGTGGAGCTAACCATTAGCCCTGTTCCTGAGCATATCACAGAACTAGATTATATATAAATACCTTCCAGTGGTAGTGCAGTTAGTCACTGACCTCACAAGAACTGTGAGGGCCTGATAACTCTGGATATTGAGTTTCTGTTACCCTCACTGAAGCAGGGATGTTTCGAGACACTGATTTTAATTAAAAGCAATCAGTTTTCGCCTTGGGATTATTGCAGAGTGTGAAATCCTTATCTGTGGCAACAAGAGAGTGCTTGAAGAGGAGAGAACAAATGTTAGAACTCTGTCACCTGAAAAGCTTGATTATCTTGGGAAATAAAATATAAACGTGCATATATATTTATGTTTAAAGGAGTGCTCTCAAGTGTTGTCCTGATGCTGTGTTGAGCTCCTGAACTCGTGTTCTAAGAGCTTTGCTTGATGAAGGATCCAAGCTTCCTGTCTATAGCGCAGTTGCAGCAAACTTCAGCCGTGCAAAGAACTGTAGGGTTGCTCAGACTGGTGTTTGTATAGTGCTGTAGGGTTGCAGCACCTGACAGGTGAAGTGTTTAGCTGCTTTTATGCCCAGTTGTAGCCTATAAACTACATTATACTTATCATGTTCTGCAGAGAGGGCAGTTACAAGGAAGTATTGCTTGTAAACCATGAAAATCCTTGACTGCCTGAGCTTTGGAACTTGTTACCTCTGCTTGTGCCTCAGAGTGCAGCATTTCTAAGGCTGGCTGAGGTGGGGCAGGGTGTTATGGAACAAATGTATCCAGTCCTGCCTTCTAGCCAACAGCCCTTCTTGTTCCCTCCCAGCACGCGTGTCTCATACTTTGCTGTTTTTGATGGCCACGGCGGAGTCCGAGCCTCGAAGTTTGCAGCACAGAATCTGCACCTCAACCTGATCAAGAAATTTCCAAAAGGTGAGAGAGAGGAGTGTGAGGGCTGTGGGACAAACAGCCACCTTTTGTGCTGTGAAGCTGTGGCTGCTGCTTAAGGGGATGCATTTGTTGGTGTGCAGTTGTGCAGTTTCCGTTCCTTATTCCAAATGGGCTTGTGTGCACAGAGACCATGCTGCCTCTTGGGGAAGGGAGTTGGAAGCCTTTTTTGGAATGAAAGTGCAAGCAGCCAGTATTGAACCAGTAACCAAGCCTGAGATGTTCTGTTGCCAAGCTTGGCAGTGCTGCTTTGTGAGAAAAGGAAAAGTAAAAAATATCCTCACTGCAGGGGAGGGGGTTTGTCATAACTTCTGTACACATGTTATCAGGCAGACTGTAGTGGTGTGAGCCTGGGATGTTCCTCAGCTGTTGTGTGCAGGATCTGCCCAATGTGCTGCCATCTGTTCTGTGTGATGGGCTGGATATGTCTTAGCAGGAGCTTAGTTGCTGTTTTCCCTGGCAGGTGAGGTGGTCAGTGTGGAGAAAACCGTGAAGAGATGCCTTTTGGACACCTTCAAACATACAGATGAAGAGTTTTTAAAGCAGGCATCCAGTCAGTAAGTGTAAATGCTTCCTGTGAGGAAGCCTTGAGCCGTGTCTTGGTGAGACAGCAAGTACAGCTGTGTGCCAGGCTGTGCCTGCCTGCTTGAGCTCAGTCACAGCATGTTCTAGTCTTACCCTGCAGCTAGCAGCCTGCCAGGACCCTTTGGGCTAAAATACCTGCTAATGGCAAAGAAAGGAGCCAAAACATCACCAAGAATCCACTCTGCACCTACCAGAGCATCCTGCTTGCCTTCTCTTTGAAGACTTAACGTGTTGCTGAAGTGATGCATCCCATACTGTGTGAGCTAGGAGCTCTTGCTGGGTTGTTGTTTTTCTTTTCCAGCTCTAATTTTTAAAACAAAACTGATAAACACAGGTACTTTGTGGGCAAAATGCCAGCCTGTCTCCCTGCTGGGTTGTGAGTGTAAACGCCCTTGTCTTGTTCTGCCTCTGCTAGGCTGACACACCAGCTGTGGTTTGTGAGTAAGTAGGGTACAAATTGGTAAGAAAATGATTGTATTTCAAACACAGGCCTTTACACTTCTTGTCTGCTTCTTAATGACACTTGTGGCACAGCTGGAGAGACTGCTGCATCTGAGATGCCCTGCCAATTTTAAGTAAATTAAAAATTGGCTGTTTCTTAAGGGACAATAGGAAGAAGTTTCCTGGAGTCTGTTACAACAGCATCACCCCTAAAGCAGTCTGTTTGGTCAGAAACGTGACAGAGCTACTGCAAAGAATTCCTGTGTAGCAGCAGCTGTGTTGGTGACATTTCATGGTGATGCACATTTTCAGCAGCACCTTCAAAATCAGGAAAAAATGACCAAAATCAGTCTCTCAAACCTAACTTCAGTAAAGAATGGTGTTCAAGCTGGGCTTCATTGTGGGAAAGATTCATGTGGCAGCTGTAACCTAAGAACCACTTCTCAGCTTACCTAGAGCTCCAGGGATACAGTCTTAACTACAGCAAGTGAAATAGCAGGGGTGTGACCAAGTAATTGGTGTTACTGCTGAGGTGAAGGTGGGACTGAAGTGGGCAGGAAGAGCATGGTGAGAAAAAGAAGGGAAGGAAAGGCAAAAGGGTGGTAACTCAGTTGCAGCCCTGGCGATTCTGGTGTTTGGTTTTGGCTTTTTCCTTGGCTGCCTGCAGGTGTAATTTACTGCGGGCTCGCTGGCTGCTCAGTGTCACTGTGTGAGTCCCCAGGCACAGTCAGCAGCTTCTCAACAGTTTTCCTCCTTGGTAATCTCTCTGTTGTTTCCTCAGAAAGCCTGCATGGAAGGATGGCTCCACAGCTACGTGTGTCCTGGCTGTTGACAATATTCTCTACATCGCCAACCTCGGTGACAGCCGGGTAAGCAGAACAGAGATGCCCACTGTTGGCATCTTGGTTCCTCTGCAAGCTTGCTAGCTCTGCAGAGTGCATTCTGTTGCCTGTATTATTTGCAGGCAAGTGCTGTGGGGAAATACTGCATTCTTTCTGTACTCTATGCCAGAGATCACAGTTACCTTTCAACATTTAAGCTAGCTTTTCTTTTTATATACATAGAAAGCCTTGAGTGCAAACTTAAAGCTCTCTCAAGAAGTTCTTGCTAGAGTTTTGGTGTTTACTCACGAGGTTCTTTTGTCAGCACAGGCTATTCTGTGTCGTTACAATGAAGAGAGCCAGAAGCATGCAGCCTTAAGCCTCAGCAAGGAGCACAACCCCACCCAGTATGAGGAGCGTATGCGGATACAGAAGGCGGGGGGAAATGTCAGGTTAGTCCTGAAGGTGAAAAGTGAGCAAACCTAAATGCTGGCTCAACTTTGGATGTAGAGTTTCTGGAGCTTTGCACGCCTGCTAGTGAGAGCCTAGAGGTAATTTCACTGCCTATGAGTGATCCTTCAGATATCTGAGGAGTCAGTGTCCTTGTTCCATTGGCTGATGGGTGCTGGTTTCCCAGGACTTAAAATGGTGACAGTGTTGTGCTGCAAAGATAGGAACTTATCCGTGCCTGAAAGCCTGACAGCATAGCATCAGCATAGACATGCTTAAAATTGAGCTGCAGAATTTGACTTGGCTGTTAAGCTGCTCTTGCTGCATGCTGTGGCACTGAGCAGAGTTCACTTGCTACTTGCAGCACCAGCTCTCCCTCCTGGCTCCTCTCTGGCACGAGGGAGAGTATTTGAGAGGGCACAGTGTCTGTCCTCATGGCTGTGCTTCTTGTTCCTCTAAGTGCTAGCAGCTGAACCAGTGTGTGGGGCAAATTGTCCTGCATGGCAGAGCACAGGAGGGGCTGCCGGTTGCTGTTCTGGTCTTCTATTGAAACACTGTGCTAGATACTGTTCTTACACAAGCCTGTAAATTCGGTCCTCTGCCTCCAGGAGTTGTGGCATAACTCTTGCTTCCCTGGCTTGCTAGGCTAAGCAGGACTTGATTTAGAGTGGAGAGAGAGAAAACAGCCTTGAATTCTCCTGACTTCATTTTTTCCTTCCCCACTCCATTTGTGTGAAAGAGTGGGAAACGTGCAGAATAGGATAGAGGCTTGCAAGGCAAGGTTTAAACTTACTGGGGAAGTGAGTTTGGTTTTGTGCGAGGCAGCGGAATGGCCAGTGGAGAAGAGCAAGAGGTGTGTGCACAGAGGAGACTGGGCATTTTTTCCCCTTGCGCAGGGATGGAAGAGTGCTGGGAGTGCTGGAGGTTTCCCGCTCCATTGGGGACGGCCAGTACAAGCGCTGTGGTGTGATCTCTGTGCCAGATATCAAACGCTGCCAGCTCACACACAATGACAGGTAAGTCGTGCCCACTCACCAGGAGGCTGCTGTGTCCTGGCTCTCTGCTCAGCAGCAATGCCAAGCTGCTGCCAGAGCTGAGGCACTTGAGGCTAATCACCCAGAATCAAAGGATGCTCTTGCAGCTGATGTCCCTCTGCTCCTGTTCCTTGCCAGTGCAGTGGGGCAATGCTGCTGCCTCACTGCCAAGACACTGAAAGCTCCTCTTGGACCAGCCTCACTGTGGTGATAACGCACACAGGCCTCATCCTGCCCTTGTGCTCTAAGCTCGTGCACCTGTCTTCAAGCAGGTGGTTAAGGCTTGAATCCTTGGATCCCTGTGCTGCCCAGGCGGTGTTCCTAGAAGCTGTGGTGCCCAAATACACCATTGCATTCAGCTCTGATTTTTGAACATTTGAGATAATTTTCCAGCAAATGATTGATGATGATAAATTCCATTCAGGTCGGTACAGCCCTGAATGCTGTCAGAGGCAAGTGGGTGACCCCGCGCTCCTGCTTCTGGTGGGATTAAAATTCCATAGCAGGCAATCTACTGAAATATTTTAGGGGATATTCTGAGCATCGGGATCTGAAACTGCCTTCAAAGATGTGCATTGCTGTGGTGCAGGGGCTGTAGTTTTCTGTTTGGTGACTGTCTCTGGGGCTCCTGGTTAATGCAAACTCCTGTGCAGGAGAGGGAGTGCGCAGCAAACTGATTCCTTCTCCCCATTGGGGGCTGAGAGATAGATAGCTCTCCTCCCCTGGGGTTTTGCATCACTTGTGTTTACACCAGGAGCACAGCATTGTAAAGGGCTGCACTTAAGATACTAAGCTGTGTTGCTCTATTTCCTTGTACTTGGCTTCTTAGCAGGGCAGATGTGAACGAAAGGATATGGGAGCTGCTCCTAGAGAAATGGTGCAGCTTCCCAGCAAGGCATGGGGACAGATTATATGGTCTTGCTTAACTGTGTGTGTCAGTCAGCCTCCCAGGATGTCCTGATGTAGGTCTGACATGGCTCATCTAACTGCTAGCTTGTACTCTGAACTGCCTCAGCCCCCTGAGTGGTTGAGGCTGAGAAGCCTCCTGGTGCTTCTGGGGGGTGGGGGGTGTTCAGATGAGCTTTTTTGCACTGTGTCTTTGGATTGAAACATGGATACTCATTCAAATAAAAAAAAAAAGGTGCAGAGGGATTTGGCTTTAGCTGGGGACTCAAAGCTTCATTCTCATAACCTGTCTAACTTCCAGATTCATCCTGATAGCGTGTGACGGCCTCTTTAAAGTCTTTACGCCAGAAGAAGCTGTGAACTTCATTGTGTCCTGCCTGGAGGTAAGGAGAAGTCATCTTGGGGGCTGGGTTTCTGATGCATTCATTTGTCAGTGCAGGAGCTGTGAAATCACATGTGACTTGCTCCCTCCAGACTAATTAGCTGAACAATGAGCAGGTGGTGCAGAAATGTACTTCTGCCAGAGGCTCCTGTCTGTTGATGCTTGTCCTTATTTAGTTTGCTTCCCTGTGCTCAGAAATAACCACGTGCCTGCACGGCTGTGCTTTGCTGGGAGCGAGCTGTGTTGTCTTTCTCCCATCCCAATAGGATAAGAACATCCAGAAAAGAGAAGGGAAGCAGGAAGCAGACGCTAGATACGAAGCTGCCTGTAACAGACTGGCCAACAAGGCGGTGCAGCGAGGGTCGGCGGACAACGTGACGGTCATGGTGGTTCGGATAGAGCACTGAGAGATGAGGAGCAGCAGCGAGGCCCCCATCTGATGCAAAGATGGGACGAGTCGGTGTGGGTCTGTGCGTGGTGGGGGGAGGGCCCTGCTGCGTGCTCCTCAGTGTAAATAAAGGTTTTTTTCTAATAGTTCTAGTTCACTTGGCTAGCAGTGTTTTCTAAGCAGTTACTACAGTGGATCAGCTTGTTGGGGGAGTTTTGTGTCCTGTTAACCCTCACCCCCTTGAATGTCCTGACAAACCAAATAAATCCATTTGGTAGAGGTGCTGGTGAGAGCAGGCATCTTTGTGCACAAACTGCCACCTGTTCAAATGCTGCAGCTTCGCTGTTTGTTTCCTCAAGCTCTATATGATGCCTAGGAAGAGCTCCAAGCACCAGGCGCTCAGTGGGAGCTCCTGGTTGGGCTCTGTGTTTGCTACCTGCTGGTGGGGGGAAGGAAATCCTTTGGGTCTGGAGTGTGAAGTGCTCTAAATGACCCTGGGAGAGCAGCAGGGGTCGTGCTCCCATGCAGGGTGTACCTCACCAGCCCTATATGTGGCCCTGAGCAACACAGGGATCCCCCACCCCGACACACAGGCGGGCCACAGAGCTACTGGTTGCGTACATTTAATGAGTCAAACATCAGAATAGCACTCTGGAACAACTTGATTAAACAATACCAGCATCCCAAGAGCAGAGTGCTGGAGGCTGCATTGGCCTCTAAGAAAGGGGGGGCTTCATGCTCAACCCGACCTGGGGCTGTGGGCATCAGAGCTAGGAAAGGGCTGACAAAGTGCCAGCTGTGTCACCATTGTGGGATCATGTCCTTGGGGTGCTTGGTCGTGTGCATGCTGTGTTGCTGTGCAAGAGGAAGCTGAAATGGAGCAGCTTCAGCACTGGGGAGGTTTGCCCTGCTTGCTGTGGCACTCTAGCTCCCAGAGCCACAGGGAAAGGGGGCTGGTTGGAGGGAAGCAAGTTTGAAATACCCCGAAAGCTTTGGGCTTTCAGAGGGTAAAAAAAGCTTTTTTTTTTTAAGGTGTTGGTGAGGTGTTGGTGGCTGTGGTAGGGTTAGGGGGATGGGGTGGCAGTGGGAGGTGAGGTGAGAGAGGGAACCCAAGCAGCTTCCTGTCTGGCTGGGGTTGATCCTGCCAGCACCTGGAACGCCGCCGTCAGCTCTGCTACCGCCCCTGGTCCCCTGGGAAAGCCTCAGTCCACTTGGAGGTATCCATGAAGATGGAGGAGGAGCTGTGGAAGAGCCAGAGGCAGGGCAGCGAGCCCTCCCGCACCCAGCGGTCCTTGGCGCAGTCGTACACCTCCATCTCCACCCGGTAATCCCCATCCATGCCCTTCCAGTGGCCGCCGGTGACGAAGAGCCGATCTCCCAGCGGCACCATCCCGCCGTTCTCATGCAGCGTGTGCAGGAGCTGCACCTGCACCAGGGGAAGGGCGAGTGTTGGGGTCCCGCTGCCCACCTGAGCTTTAGCTGCATCCGTGCTTTGGGCTCACACAGTGCGCTGTGGGGATGGGGTGCTGGGGGAACGTGCAGGGGTTTCATGCTGGTGGCGTGGGAAAGCGAGGGTGATCTCTGCTTAAAGCCATAACTCCGTGCAGATGCTGTGCTCCTGGAGCATGCATTACCTTCTGCCAGATGTTGGCCTCTGGGTCGTAGACGTGGACCTTCTTGGTGTTGTCCCCGATGAGGTAGATGAGGCCGTGCAGGGTGGCGCAGCGCGGGGCCGACAGGTACTTGGGGATGAATGGGGACGTGATCACGCTCCATGCATCTGCAAGGGGCAGCCGTCAGTGGGCGGGCAGGGAGCTGCCCTGGGTATTCAGGGGGGGTTAAAAGGAGATAGATCGGCACCCACGCTGCCCACCAAAGGCAGTGCTGCAGCCCAGGGGTTTGCTGTAGAGCGCCACTGGGGCTGGCAATGGGGTTTGGTGGGTGCTCACCTCGCACAGGGTTGTAGCACTGCAGGGTGAGCGCGTTGTACTTGACGGCACAGGAGCCCACCAGGTACAGCTTGCCCAGGCAGCCGGCGGCGGCGAAGTTGCTGACATATTTGAGGGCCGGGCTGATGGCTGCCCAGCTCTGGTTGTAGGGGTCGTAGCGCTCCACCTCCACCACCTCCACCGTCGTCCCTGCAGGGCAGTAGCACGCTGCAGCCCTCTGTGCCGTGCCACAACCATCCACCTGTTCCCCGGCATCCCCTTACCCCCGAGGACGTAGATCTCGCCGTTGAGGACGGCGCTGGTGTGGTTGGTCCGCGCTCGCAGCATGGAGGTGATGGCTGTCCAGACACCATCCTTGGGGCAGAAACGCCAGGCCTGCGTTGTTGACCACGTGTCATTCCGGGACCCCCGGGAACCACCTACAGGAACAGGTCAGGACCCAAAGTCAGCTTCTGCTCAGATAGGGGTCCCCAGTCCCTGGGACGATGCTGACCCCCTGCCCAGCACCTACCAGTGACATAGACGTCATTGTTCAGTGCCACCAGAGAAAAGCCCCACTTGTTGTAGTCAGGGAAGTCGGGCAGAGCCATCCACCGCCCTGCAAGGCAGCAGAGCCACGCTGTCACCCTGTGTGTGGGCTGGGGACTTCCCACCTGCACCATCAGAGGTGGGGACAGCAGCTCAGGGTGACACCTTTCCGCCAGCCCTATTTCATTCTTCCTTCACCCCGTGTCCCCACGGTGCCAGATGTTTTGGGAGCTGCTTTTCTCCATCTCATCCCATGTGGGAAGAGCTGGGGGATGATGACCACACCGCAGTGGGCACTTACGCGTTTTGGGGTTGTAAAAGGCGAAGTTCCTGGGGGTGGCCGGCGTTTCCAGCCCCCCCTCCTCGTCCTCGCTCTCCTCCAGCACGCGCCCACCCACCACCACCAGCACCTCCTCCAGTTTCTGTGGTGGGGCTGCCTTTGGCGGCGTGGGGACAGTGCCGGTGGCACCGAGCATGGCACGGGAGCGGGCCACCAAGGCCTGGCTGGCGGCTGAGTCACGGACGAGGGGTTCGGCGGCGAGCAGGTTCTGCAGGTAGTGGTCAGGCAGCGAGACCAGGCGGGCCAGCTCCAGCAGCTCAGGCAGGAACTGGGCCCTCTGCCCCGGGTCGTAGCGCACCCAGCGCAGCACGGCTTCGGCCACGCTCTGCTCTTCCTGCACCTGCAGCTGCTCGTTGGAGAGGTAGACGGCCAACCTCTCCTTGGAGAGCTGGAGGAACTCCTCCTGCTGAGAAACAGCCTCAAAGTTCTCCTGCAAGAAGGACCAGGCCTTGGAGGACACCTCGGGGCAGCCGTGGCTCTCGCCAAACTCACAGATCCCCAGGCAGTTGGTGGCGTCCATCTGCTGCCGCAGGTAGCGGCTGCACACCTGCTGGATGGTGGGGAAGTGCAGCTGGCTGGAGGTGCGCATCAGCCCCTCCACGTTGCCCTGGTTGATGGTCACCTTCCCCGTGTAGGCGAAGTCCAGCAGCGTCTCCAGCGCGCCGGGGTCCACCTCCTTCAGCTCCACACGCGCCGCGATGCTCTCGGCGAAGTCCCCAGAGAACATGGCGTGGAAGTAGTGGCTGCAGAGCGCCAGCACGCCGCGGTGGCAGGGGAACTCCCGTCCGCCCACCAGCAGCGTCACGTCCGACAGCTTGGGGTGGGCGCGCAGCCGCTGCAGCCCCTCCAGCACGCCCTGCGCGTGCGACGGCAGGCAGAAGTCAAAGTCGTCCACGTTGCGCACCATGGTGCCGGGCTTGGTGGCTGGGGCGGCCGCAGGTCCCCGCTGTGGGAAGGAGCTGAGCGTGGCGAGGCTGTCCCTGCTGGGAGGTGGTAATGATGGGCTCTTCCTTGCATCGCCCGTGTGATGTACGGCACCAGCTGGGGCTGAGGAAGGGATTTCAGGATCCCCGCCGCCCCCCTGCCCTCACCGCCCGGCGGCTGCGCCTTCCCCACCCTGAGCCGTAGGGCTGAGCTGCCCTCCTGGAGCTGCTACATATTTCTGAGGGGGGGTTGCAGTGATCCAGGAGGTGGCTTTAGGACTGGGATCACATTCAGCCCCCGAAGCTTGGATCGTTCACCCTGACACACCGAGGTGGTGCACATGGAGATGCCCCCCCC